GTAGATTCCAGGAAACCAGGTATTGGCATGATTGACTGTCTTTGTAGCACTTTTCCAGTTCTGTAAGTAGCATTAACAACCCATCTTTTCTTTCTGCTTGGAAGATTTCCTTTCATTGTTTGAGAGCCCTGGTGTTTTCCCCTTAACCTGAAAGTCTGTTGAGGCAGGCTTTTCTTTTTCTTTGCCGAGTATAATTCAGACTAATCCAGGAGTTGTTACCCTTCTCCTGGCCCTTAACCCAGGGCAGCCTCTGCAGGTAAGGTCTACCCTGCTGGCCCTGCATAGCTGGGCTCCCCACACTTGCACTGTGCTCTCCAGCCCCACTGTAAGCCTGGCTCTCCCACTCTGGGGGCCTCATCTGCCAGCTTTAGGAAGCTTTTTGTCCATCTCATTTGCTCTGGACAGAACTCACCACTGTTCCCCACTTAGGATGCCTGTGCTGACCCACAAATCAGCCTGCTCCTGGGTGCCCTTGGCCGTGGCTTGTGTTATCAGAATACCTCTGCCTCTGCCTCTGCCTCTGGCATCTGGCCCAGACCTTTCCAGTCTTTGCTGAAGTGGCACCCATTATGGGCTGCTCTCCACGGTTCCTTCTTGCCTCCCGCCACCTGTTGTTCTCTCCTCCTGTATTCCTCTTCTCTCTCCTTGCCATGTCTTCCACCTGCACCTTACTGTTCCTGCAGAGAGCTCTGCAAAGCTGGGGACTGAGGGCCCTAAAGAACCAGGGCCCCATGTGGCCTCTTCACAAATGAGCTCTCTTTTTTTATTTTTTATACATTTATTTATTTTTATGTGGTGCTGAGGATTGAGCCCAGAGGCTTGCATGTGCTAGACGAGTGCTCTACTACTAAGCCACAACCCCAGCCCCAAGCTATCTCTTTTTTATGTGGTTCTCCTTCTTTCCTTCTTCAGCTTGCTAAATCTAGCTGACTGAATCTGCCAGGACCTGAGGCCCCACTCAGGTACCCTTGCCCCCTGCTTTCCTTTTCCTGAAGCTGTGCTGTGTCATCAGACCGTACACTCAACAACCTCACCTCTGGTTAAGAGTCACTTGTTCTGTGTGCTGATGCTGTTGGGTTGGTATGCTCTTGTCTTCTCCAACAGGATTCATCATAGACAGCTCAGGGCAGGAACTTCTAAATGAGCAACTTGCAAATTCGTTTTGAAATGACCCCAATATAAGGCAAGACTCTGTACACAGATGTAACTAGGTGTAGAACTGAATCAAGTTTTCCTCACTATATGTACTCTGTGTCTCCCCCCCGCCCGCCCCCCGTCCTTGGGATTGAACCCAGGGATACTTTACCACTGAGCTACATCCTCAGCCTTTTTTATTTTGAGACAGTCTTGCCAAGTTGCTGAGGCTGGCCTCTAACTTGTGATCCTCCTGCCTCAGCCTCCTTAGTTACTGGGATTACAGGCATGTGCTACCATACCAGCCTGTGCACTCTATTTTTATTGTTTAATTTTAAAAAATGCTTTTGTGACCAATTAAACAGAGTTGCACTAGGACTATGAAGAATCCTGTTCTGAATTCCCTGTGCCATTGTCTAAGGGGAGCTGGCAGCAGTTGGCCTGGATGGGTGATTTGTTTTCCTGATTAGTCTGCAGAGCTTTTGATGAGCCCAGCAATGAAGAACATTGTTCCTTGGTTAAAACCAAGAGACTTTCTGACTTGGTCCCATGCAGAAGAAACTTTGAAGTGGTAAGTTGAACTGAGGTAGGGACTCCACTGATTTTGCCTGGCACACAAAAGGGCTCACTATTCTAGCAGGCTGCTGGCCTCTTATGTGTGTGTTATCAGGTTGACTATCACAGTGGGCTTCATAGTTGCTACCTTTTGTAGTGAGGGGGCTGAGACAGTCCAGATGCCTTGCCTAAGGTCAAAACCCAGACTTAGAACTGGTCATATTTGCTTCCGAGGCCTCAGTACCTGCCACATCATGTACTGATCTGATGCTGACAATCCTCAATTGAGTTGTTTTTCACCCCTCCCAGGGTTCTTAACGGGTGTAGTCCTCTTATTGTTCCTGGGCTTGGTCTGTCTGGCTTGGACTTAGCTAAGCTTACTGTGTCCAAGGGAAGAGACCTAGGTTTGGAGCAGGACCTGTTCTAAAAGCCACTTGTACTTGGAAATGTTGCTTGGGGCTTTGCAAAGGCTCTGAAATTGCAAGTATGGGCAGGTTGGGCCTCCTTCATTGTTTTAGTCATGCGTCACTCTATGTGATTAAACATTTGTATTTGACCCCGAGTCTTCGATGACTGTGTGCTTAATTCAGGATTATAGGTTTGTCATAGTTGAAAGCTTTACTTAGACTGAACATGATGAAATGACTTCCAATTCCTGTCTGCCAGTGGCTTGCATGAATTCTGTGGTGAGAAACGTGGCCAAAGGACCAAATGCTTTGCGTTTGACTCAGCTTCCCCACTTACCCGCTGGGTAGGTTGTTGATGTCTCTGGCTTCCACAGTGCCATCTTGGAAGTGGGGTGATGTCACCTTCTGTCTCTGCAGAGAACTGTTGTAAAGGCTAAACTGAGTTAACTGTATTTATGGCCCTTGGAAAGCGTTTGGCCCCTTAACCTTGTCAGCTGCTACTGCTTGTTCTTGATAACAGTAAGAAGTGTGAGCTGGGGAGATGTGACATTTCTGGTCATGAATCAAGGCATGTACCCCGCTTCCCTCCTACTTTCATATCTGCTGTTGTAGACTTGGGGTTGTTGTTTGGCACTGGAGTGTCTTCCCTGCCTTCTAGGATTATATCAGGTCTGAGGGAGGAGGCAGGCAGTGGCACACACTGCCCAGGCCCTGTGCACTGCAGACCTACATAACAGTCGCACATGTCCTGCTGCTCCAGCAGCCTGCTCTGGCAGTGCTTGTGTCCACTTTGCAGATGTGGAAGCAAGGCTCAGGGATTCCATGTAAGTACTATGCCTGAATCACAGCTAGTGCTTGGTGGTCCTGAGTTTCCTCCCAAGCCTGTCTGTCTCCAGAAGCCACAGCTGACCCAAGGAGGACTTGCCCTTTTCTCTCTGCAACTCCATACCTGTTTGATTATATTCTTTTTTTTTTTTTTTTTTTTTTTTAAAGAGAGAGTGAGAGAGAGAGAGAGGGAGAGAGAGAGAGAGAATTTTTAATATTTATTTTTTAGTTATCGGCGGACACAACATCTTTGTATGTGGTGCTGAGGATCGAACCCGGGCCGCACGCATGCCAGGCGAGCGTGCTACTGCTTGAGCCACATCCCCAGCCCCTTGATTATATTCTTAAAGGAGGTTGGGCCTACTCAGTGGCAGAGTAGGCCCAGCCTGTACATCAAGCCCCAGTTGCCCTATCTGAAGAATGGGTGACACTTGCCACACAGGAAGTTATGGAGACACAATGAGACATGCAGAGCACATGCAAGCTCATGGGAACAGACAGCTGCATTCTGGGACATCTGACTGTTGGGCCCAGCATCTCTGGCCTTGGCATCCAGTTCACTAGTCCAGGCTTAGCTGGTAAATAGCACCTGTGGGTATTGTTACTAATTCTTGTCAGAACATAATATGTTTGATAATTAATTACACTTTATAGTCCACAGAAGACCGAAAACAAGCTTTCATAGCGTGTAGATTTTGGTAGATTTCGGTAGATTTCCTATAAAATTGAAGATTTCTCTGCACACATGGAGTTTGAAGCTTTCTGTTGCTACACTGTCACTGCTGTACCTGGCCCAGGGTAGGTGCTCAGAAATTGACCTATGAGCTAGTGAGTCTATTTTCTCAGTACTTCAGTGGAATGGTTGTAAGGCAGAGCAAGAAGGGTCCTGCATCTCACCTTGCAGGAAAGGTATACAGAAACTGACTACTCAGCTGTTTCTCACAGCCTCTATATTTTGAGAAAATTTTTCTTTTCTACTTTTTTTTTTGGCTGGGAGGTGGGTACTAGGGAGAGGGGGGATACTAGGGATTGAACTGAGGGGCACTCAACCACTAAGTCTTGTCCCCAGCCCTGTTTTGAATTTATTTAGAGACAGGGTCTCACTGAGTTGCTTAGTGCCTTGCCATTGCTGAGGCTTGCTTTGAACTCGCAATCCTCCTGCCTCACCTCCCGAGTTGCTGGAATTATAGGCATGCGCCACTGTGTCTGGCTTTTTTTTTTTTTTTTCTCACTTTTTTAGAAGCCTTAATAGGCCCTTCTGTCTGAGAGAATAATTGCTTGCAAAATAATCTTACGAGTCACACCCTCTTGACAGCTGGTGTCAGTAGAATCCGTTCAGCAGTTCACTACCACCTCATGTCAGTGCTGCTCTTGCCACCTGGAGTGAGGACTGAAGGCTAGGTTGGTTCTACATTCGTCTGCCTGTCTTCCCAGCTAGCTTGTCTTCTTTCTGTTAAGAGGTGGTCCTGAGGGCCTTGTCTGTCACGGGCAATGGGATTATACCATTTTCTGATGTTGCAGGGAGCCCACACTTGGTTTCAGAAGCACCAATTTGTTGGCTCTCCTGAATCCTTATAGCTGGATGTCTAGAATGTGGGTCACCAGGTGTGACTAAGCCTTTGTGGTTGCAGTTCATGGAACAAATTGGTGGCTCAGTGGGCATGGAGGCTGCTCTTAGGTTTCCAGGGCATGGTGAAATTATTTACATAACAACATGCAGCCGTGACTTCCCAGTGGCCATTTGATAATCAGTTAACACTCGTAGTCCACAGAAGACAGCAAATAAGCCTGTCACCAGGAGGAGTGTAGACCCAAATCAGTGCTAATGGTCCTTGTAAGGGGCTACTTTGATGCTGGGACACTTCAAAACTTCCTGCATCATGAAGTTCTGGCCTGGATGCAGAGCTGTGGGGTCCCTTCAGCACAGTTCTTCCTTCTGAGTGGCAGGAAGGTCAGTGCTGCATCCTCAGGATCAACTTCAAGCACTTTCACTTACAAAACAGCTATGTTGCTTTTAGAAGGACTTCATAATATCAGAACTAGCCAAGCTCAGAATCATCCCTCATTTCTTTGTCCTAGGAATATGAAGACAAAGCTGGAAGACCTAGCAGGCCACCCTCTCCAAGGCAGAATGTGAGGAAGAATCTTGATTTTGAGCCACTTTCTACCACTGCACTCATCCTTGAAGACAGACCAGCGTGAGTCTTGGGAAGGGCCTCTGTGGTGTCTGCTTATAGATAAGGCAAAATGCTGGTCCCTGTTTCAGTAAATAAGAATGAGCATCAGGAGATGGGAGCAGAGTAGGCCATAAGCATTCATGATCTGGGTCCACATGTATTCTAGTGGGGTCATATGGCTGACTTGGAAAAGTGCCCTTTAGTATGGACGTATTGACCAGGATTTTCCATTTAGGTGATTGTCCTTTTTAATTTACTATTTAATACTTAATTAGATATGATAAACGTTAAGCTGGTCTGTAACTACAAGATGCCCTGAGTTGCTTAACGCCTTGCCATTGCTGAGGCTGGCAAGTGGTATTTTTGAGGTGCCTTGGTATTGCCAGACAATTCCTGGACTGGCCTATGGGGTTCCTTGGGATTGCATTGAATGTATTTGTGGGTGATGTGAGGCAGGGCCCCTCTCTCTGGGCCTCTAGTTTCCTGCTGCATGATGAGGAGATCCTGTTTGGAGACCTTCCTAGGTATTAGGTATTATTCTATTAGGTAATCACAACTGAGATATATATATATATATATATAATCTATGTATTTCTTTCTCCTTCCTTCCTTCCTTCCTTCCCTCCTTCCTTCCTTCCTTCCTTCTTTCTTCTTTCCTTTCTTCCTTTCTTTCTTTTTCTTTTCTTTCTTTTCTTTCTTTCTTGGTGTTTTGGGGCTACTGGTGATTGAACTCAGGGGCACTCAACCACTGAGCCACATCCCCAGCCGTATTTTGTATTTTATTTAGAGACAGGGTCTCACTGAGTTGCTTAGTGTGTCTCTTTTGTTGAGGCTTGCTTTGAACTTGCAATCCCCCTGCCTCAGGCTCCTGAGCCACTGGGATCACAGGCGTGTGCAGCTGCGCCTGGCTCTGTATATTTAAGTTTAGCGTTTTCTATGGAACATTGTGTTGTAATAGAAGGTCCCCTGCTAAAAAAGGAAGGAAGAAGAAAAGGGGCTGTAAAACACTGGGCTAGTTAATGCCTAAGACCCCTGCCCACCCCCAAATATAAAACAAGTCTAAAAAAGAAGTGTATCTTGAATTGTTAATTCTTGGTTCTTAGAAACTAGGTGTAAGAAGACCCTGAAGTAGAGGACAGGAAAGTCAGGTGTAGGCCACTGGCTAAAGCTGCTGAGCTGTGAAGACCAGTCCTTTCAGTGCTCTGAGATGTGGGTGGGGGCTGGTCACATTCTGCAGCCAGTGGCAGTGATCGAAAATCTCCAGGGAATGTGGGTTACATCGTAACAGGGGCACAGGCCAAATGCTGCTGCCCTTCCATCTCGCTAGGTGCCCATAGTCTATACACACATTTCTGAATGAGCATGCATTTTTAATGTTTTAAATGAAATGTGCATAGCTATGGCATATTTTTGTATGTAAAAGATACTAAATGAGCTACAGAGCTGATATGAAACTTGCACATTTAAAGCAACCCTCTTGGGCTGTATTCATGCATATATGCTCTGTGCTGTGCAGCTTTTCCTTCAGGGATTAACTGCTGGCAGTTAGCTTTGTGGTTAAATCACGGTTTCTATCTTGGAGAATGGGGTGAAAAAGCACCAACAGATTATCTGTCTTTATTGCAACTACGGGTAATTGTCATTTTATTTTGTGTACTACTCTTTATAATTTAGTTGTTTTAAAGTGAGTATTTTGCTTTTGTAAAGAAACTTTAGTTTGTGAGAGAACTGTGTAATTTTTGAAAATTTAGCTTTGTATCTTTGGGCTTTACAATTTTGGGGGGGTGGATGCTGCAGGTGTTTTTTTCCCCTTCCAGAGACTTTTATTTGATATTTGTAATGGTAAAAATCCATTTATTTCCTTTCAAGAAACCTCCCAGCAAAACCTGCTGAAGAAGCCCAGAAGCACAGGCAGCAGTATGAAGAAATGGTGGTACAGGCCAAGAAGCGAGGTACCGTGAAGCCACAGGCACCAGATTCTGTGTCTTTCTGGGTATTTTCTTTCTGTCTTTTGGACCTTAAGAACTTGAACTTTGAACTTTGCTGAGTGCTTTAATATTCTGAAATTGTAGTTTTCCATAAAGTAATCTATGCTTCTTCTAGTCATGCCTGGTAGCTTTATTTAACACTTAACAAGAAGAGACTGAATGATGAGAATTCCTCATTAGCTTCAGCCAATGATGATGTAAAGATATCTGTTTTCAGGCTGGGGTTGTGGCTCAGTGGCAGAGTGCTTGCCTCGCACATGTGAGGCACTGGGTTCAATCCTCAGCACCGCATAAAAATGAATAAACAAAGATATTATAAAAAAGATATCTGTTTTCTTTATTTACAAGAAGATGTGATTGAATTTGACAAAATTTCTTGCAATTCCTGAAAAACTATGATTCCAGGTTATTTCTTTTTAAAGATTTTTTTTTTTAATTGTAGATGGACACAGTACCTTTATTTTATTTATTTTTTTATGTGGTGCTGAGGATCGAACCCAGTCCCTCACACATGCTAGATGAGACTCCACCACTGAGCGTCACAACCCCAGCCCCAATTCCAGGATATTTTAAAAGTATATATACTAGGCCTAGGGATATTGCTTGGTGGTAGAGCACTTGCCTAGCATGTACATGGCTCTGGGTTTGATCCCCAACACTACCAAACAAAAAAAAAAAAGTTCCTATAATAAATTGTGGTGTATCCATACATTGGAATATTATGTAACCTTAAAAACAAAAATTCTCACACATTTCAACCTAGAAGAACCTTGAGAACATTATCCTAAGTGAAATGAGTCAGTTGCAAAAGGACAGTTCATGGTTCCACTTATGAGATCCCTAGAATTGTTAGATTCTTAGAGACAGAGTAGGATAGTGATTGCTGGGACCTGAAGGGGGTGCTGGGGAAAAGGGAACATGCAGATGTGGATGACAGTTATGGTTGCTCAGCTGTGTGCATGTGCTTAATGCTACCAAGCTGTACATCAAAATGGCTGAAATAAACTTTATGTGACATATATTTTGCCATGATAAAATACAGTTGTCCCTGGGTATCCATGAGGAATGGGTTGTAGGATCCCCAGCAGATACACCAGAATCTGCAGATGCTCAAGTCTCACATGTAAAATCTGTGTGTATCCTATGCACATCCTCCTGTATACTATGAATCATGTGTGGGTTACTTAATAAAATGTAAATTCTCCATAAATAGTTATTACACTGTGTTGTTAGGGAATAATGACAAGGAAAAAAGACTGTACATATTTGATATAGACATGACTTTTTTCCCCCCAGTGTTTTCCATTGCTGGTGGGGTGAATCAGCAGTTGTAGATCCCATGGGTGTGGAGATTGCTATTGAGTATAGATAAACTTAAGTGCAGGATCTTTCTCAGAGTTGCTACGTACACGCTAGTAACTGAGTGATGCTTAGACTTTTAGAAGTGATCCTAGAGATCACTTTTAGAAGAGGTGTGGAGGGAGCACAGCAGGGTGAGTTCTGGGAATGTTTACTGCTCTGATGGATGTTTCAAGGGTTTATCTGTTCTGTCTGTGTTGGATTTGTGTTTGTGCACTCTTCTGTATGCATGTTGCACTTTAACAGCTTACTAAGGCAGGGTGGTGCTAAGCATCCTGGGTCCTTGGGGTGTGAAGTGAGCCCTGGGAGCACAGGCTTGCTCTAATGCAGTGGCCTTCTCCTGATTTTCTTGCATCATGACTCGTTGAGAAAAATCACCCAGGTTGAACATGGTGTGGGTCAAATAATAGATGTTCTCTTCCTGTTTTTAATTGTGATTTCTAGAGCTTAAGGAAGCCCAGCGGAGGAAAAAGCAGCTGGAGGAAAGATGCAAAGTAGAAGAAAGCATTGGAAACGCCGTCCTCACCTGGAATAACGAGATCTTGCCCAACTGGGAAACCATGTAAGCTTTGATTGTGTGGGTGCTGCTGTGTTGCAAACAGTTTCTCCCTCCAGCTGGCAGGTAGCAGCTGTGGTTACTGAGCTCATAGCATGGCCTTGGGTAGATTAGCCTCAGTTGCCGTGGTCCAGCCCTGGGCTTCCTTGCCCCGATGCTGTGACAGCCCCTTCCAGCTTACCTGGTACTCAGCCTGCCTCTGTGCCCTCTCTCCTTAACATTTCAGTAGCTTCCTCTGATGCACAATTTCATATTTGAACTCTGTAGCTTAGCTGACAGGACACTCTGCCTTTGTGTCTCACCCTCTTCTTTGCTTTAGTTGGGCCTGTCTCTGTCCCTGTGAGGTCACCAACAAGAGTTGATGCTTTTTGGCCTCCGAACCTTTATAGGTTCATTTGTGTGTTCTGGACTTCCTGTCCTGCTAATTGCTGTTTGTTTTCTAAAGCTCAGTCTTCCCTAGGAAAGGCTCTCCTTTCCTTACCACAGATCCAGGTGTCTGTGGAAGATTCCCCGGGATGCCCTGCAGCTGTCTTCTTCTCTGAGGGTAGAGAGCAGGTTGTCTTTGATGTTGACCTACAGTTAGTGCAAAGTGCACACCCAGCAGAGATAGCAGCTGTGACGTTCTTTTGGAATGTCATCTGTACATCTTGTTTCTTCCTGTGTGGTCGGTCTGGGCTGGGGCCCTTAGGGGCAGTCATGCCAGGGCCATACAGAGGCCGTTGGGGAGCTTAGAGACCAGCTTGCCTCTGCTCATGTCTTGCATATTGTGATGCTAGAGGCTCATTCTGAGTCTGACCTGGTGTCACTCACTTTCCCTATAGGGGCCAGAGGCTGGGTTAAGGGGCGTCACTAGGAGAAGATGTTGTTCTCAGAATTTGTTTTTCTAGGTGTTGGCCCTCAAATACTCAATGCTGCTAAGAATGCTGAATGCTCTTTCTTAGATCGGGCCCAGTGCCAAGGTTAGAGGTTCTCTTCTCAGACCCTTGTTGTCTGCCTGCATGGCGACCAAGCCTGCCCTGGGCTGTCCTGCCTTTGCCCTAATCCAGAGGACATACCTCCCCCGAAGGACTGTAGTGAGGAGTAAGTGGATAAAGTACAAAGTGCCCAGCACAGTGCCTGACACAGCCAGTGAGCATCTGGACCACCTCCCACACAGGGCAGATGCTCACTGGCTGTGTCGGGCACTATGCTGGGTGCTTGGTACTTTATCCACTTACTTTGCGCAGCAGTCCTCCGGGGGAGGTCTGTCCTCTGGATTTTAGAAAGCAGAACTAAGTATCTCTGGATCCACAAGGCAGGGTAGAGTTAGGATGTAGCCTTGCTTCTGTAGCCTCCGAGCCGGAGCTGCCCCGCAGTGCTGCATTCAGAATCACCATGGAGTCTGGCGCCTTTCCACTTGTCTGGTCTTTGGCAATACGTGTTCATCATGACCAGTAGACCTGAACAACTGCACCGTTCAGAATGTTCTGGGTAGCAAGTCACCCTGTTGTCAAGGTTTGGTGGCTTGCCCTGTAAGGCCCTGGCCCCGCCTCCTGCCTCCCACCTCCAGCTCTCAGCAGGGCGGTTGCACTTTGTGCCCAGGCTCAGCTGCGTGTGGTCCTGCAAGAGGCCAGGTTATTTTTTGTGTCTGTTTTCTGCTCAGAAAGTCCTTCCCATCCTTCACGGGCATAATCTGCTCCTGGTCATTTGAAATTGGTTGGAAGGTGCATGGTCCTCTGTGGTGCTTCCTGTTGTGCCCTGTCTCAGCGGGTGCCCCGTGGAAGGTGGCCTGAGGCTCCCCGAGGGCGGAGTGCCACTCTTAACTGCTGGTGGTATGTGGCGGGACACACACCCACACACTAGGCTTTCACCTTGGAGCACACGCTCAGGAACTCATGTTCTGTCCTGTGCAGGTGGTGCTCTAGGAAAGTTCGAGATCTGTGGTGGCAGGGAATCCCTCCGAGCGTGAGGGGCAAAGTCTGGAGCTTAGCCATCGGCAACGAGTTGAACATTACCCACGGTGAGTGCTTGCCTGGGAGTCTCCCCTGGGGTCCTCGGTTGAGCTGGGCTTTTGTTAGGGCCTCTTCCATCCCTTCGCCCTGATGGGAAGGATACAAATGCTGCCGAGGAGCTGCGGCTCTGAGAGGCAGGATGATTCTCCTCTGGGATGGTCTGTTGACAGGCTGGGCTTCAGGTCCCTAAGTTCAGGGCAGATTCTCTAAAATGGAGGGCTTAGAGCTCAGGACCTCTCAGGTGCAGTGGGATCACTTGTCAGGGTCCTATGGAAGGCAGATCTCTATCAGACTCGAACGTGGAGGTGTGTGGATTGTACTAGGGGTACCTGTTGGTGTTCTGTGGGATTTTCTTTCTTTCTCCCCCCCCCCCCCCACCTCGGGCAACCTTAAAGGTACAAAATTTTGTGCTAGGCCTGGGTCCTAAGGGCGTAAGTGGTCAGTGTCAAGGAAGTGAGACCCTCACATCAGTGTCCTTGTGCTGTTTGTCATGCTGTGTCACCTTCTCAGACTGCATGTTTCTGCCCACCAGGCCAGGCTCACTTTCTAGTCACTGTGTCAAATGCTCAGCAGGCTCTGTCTGTCCAGAGGAAGCAGGCCTCAGGAGCTGCTGGACTGAACATGTGGCCTTCCTGCAGGGAGTGGCTCCTTGCTCCTCTCCTTGGCAGTCTGAGGTCTGAGCTGTGGAAGGAAAGCAGGCCCTCCTGCTCGTCCAAGTGAGGCCCGCAGCTGCCTGTGAGGTCGAGGGCAGCAGGCTTACTCTGGTGGAACCCTCAGAGTTCCAGGCAGATGGGTGGGTGCCTTCCCTCTCCAGTCAGGCTGTTAGCCTCATCATGTCAGCTTTGGCCTTTCACACAGCCTCAGCCTTGTTCTAAGAACTGTGTCCACCGTGAGCTGCACAACGGGTCAGTTGGATGGTGACTCCCTTCCTGAAGAGGACCTGCTTTCCTTCCACAGCTAAATCCATATCTGCCAAAATTTTGTTTGTAAGATATTTGCCTGAAAAAAAAAAAAAAAAAAAAAGATATTTGCCTGAGAAGATGTACAGCATTTTACTTGTGGAAATGGTTTTTGAGAAATGTCCTCAGAAGGTGAGGTTTGGATAAGTTTCTGAGCATTTATTTCAGTCTGTGTTGTTAAAAATTTTTAACTTCTATCAACATCCCTGTCTATGCAAATTGGATATAGCGTGCCGTACTTTGTGCCTCTGTGTGTGCGGTTTTTGGTTCTCTCTGATGCCTGGGTGGGTTTTGTTTAAATTGAAACCTTCTGTGGACAGAATCATGGTGGGTGGCTTTAGCAGCTGCTCCACCATCACTTGGGTATAGATGTCCCTTTGGCCCTGATGCTGGCTCGCATTTTGTCAGCTGTGACTCTCTCACATGACGGGCTGTTTCAGGGTGCTTGCCCCCATTGGAACAGGTTCAGTACACTGGGGCCCCCCTACAACTCCCTGCTCCATCACTGTGCCCAGCCCAGTTCTCTGCAGGCCCTGAAATGTCTGTTAGGTAAGTGGGTGCAGCTCCTAGAGTCCTGCTTGATCTCACCCTGCTGCATCTTCAGGCCAGTGTAAGAATGATCCTGGGTTGTTGAATGCCAGGCACCCCCTTAGGCTTAGTGAAGACTTAGGAGTCTGTAGCGTTGACAGTGATCCTGTTGAGGCAGGTATTGGTGACCCTGTCTTCCTTTTGAGAAGGATCATCCTGAAACGGCCAGGCACTGTGCTCCAGGCCCTGTGGCCTATGTGTGTGAGCAGGATTCTCATTCTAGCACTGGCTGATTCCGACGCCCATGTTATGACTTGGGAAGCTCCAGTTTGGCTCTTTTTGTGGCTGTACATTTGGAAACTTACAGCTGGAAAGTTGACCTAATAGTACTATTAAAACTTCACACTTAGGAATTTGACTTTAAAACTGGGGATGGGGAGTCTGGGTAGGAGGTATAGAGTCTAACCCCTGCCCCCCAGTACATGCCAGGAAAGTCATGGAAGAGATTTTGTAACACTGACACTTTGACCCCTTTTGCCTTGAGGACACAGCCACAGCCTCTGTACCTTAATTGTCAGATTCCTCATATGGGAAGTGATTCCCAGGTGGTCACAAGCCACACAGTTGTTTTCACCCCTACTGCCAAAATGACAGCAGTGTAGCCAACCACCTGGGGGCTGAGAGCAGGCAGAAGTGCCCTGTAGGTGCTCTAGCCACCAGCTCAGGACACTGCCAGGTATGTCCTGTAAACACTTGCCCTTCTGGATAAGGATGGCAGGAAATTATGTTACATGACTGTGCCCTCCCGCCATGGAAGACAGCATAGATTTTGTTAGAGCCTTCACAAGGCTTGATTAGGGTCGTTCATCAAGATTTTACTTGTTGGATTATAATAGTGTTACTAGAATTAACATTTCATTTAATAAAATAGCACATGCTGCCCAGAAGGCAATTGTGCCCTGTTTATTTTTCAAAATTAATGATGGCAAAATATAAAGTGATAAAAAGTCTGTGGGTAGCTTCATTTAAAGTCCCAGTGACAGACTAATGACCCAGAACATCAGGGAGCTGGGAAACATCAAAGCCAGAGGCACAGGAAGTGCCTGGGGTGGGACAGGTGTGGAGCTGGCCCTGAGAAGCACAGTCCTCTAAGGATACCTGGGGTTCAGATATACCCAGGGCTGTCTGTACCTGCCAGTGAGATTTGTGAGCATGAGTTTGACCTAACTATCACCAAACTTCGCAAGAGAAGAGTTGTTGAAAGATGGGTTCTAAATATGGAAGAGACTTGGAGGCTGATGACACTTGTCTGACAGCAAGAGTTCTTGTTCTTTGAAAGCTCTGCCTGTTCCTGGGCACCTGCTCCCACCCCCGGCTCTACTTCTTGCAGCAGAATGAGCAAGCTGCGCCATGTGGGTAGCAATTCCACTATGTCTTTATGTGAAAACAGTGTCCATCCTCATCCCCCAGATCACAGTCCTAGTAAGTTAAATTTCCAAAGGTTGAAATCCTGAAAATGGAAATTCCAAAAGTTGCATTTTCCGTGGGGGAAAAAAAAAAAAAGGCTATATAAGAGGGGTAGAAACCTGAATTCTGGTGAAGGGATTTATCATACATGATGGCAAGAACTAAAGCTGCAGTTGAAAAAGGTGTCATTGGCACTCCTTCCCGTTAACAAAATTCCAAGAGCTTTTAATGAATTAAAGCTACACTTTCTACAGAAGCCAAGAAGGTTACTGATTGGTTTGAAATAATCATGTGCATGGTGGGACAAGAAGACACACAGCAGTGTTGCTGTTGGACCACCTGTACTGATTGGGTCTGTATTTGAGGATGAGTAGAATGCACGTCTGAATATACAGAGCAGCGGAGAAGCGTGGTCCAGAAGATGAGAAAATTAGGGGTGCTCGTATCAGTGTGTACCGAGTCAGAAGCCACGTGGAAGTGTATGTGGACTCGCTCTGCCAGAGCGCCACACCTGCTGTTGACCACCATGCAGGATCAGAACAGTGTGGAGCGGAGATCACCTCCATGCACTGCCTGTGGTCTATTCCTGGTTATGCTTTATCATGTGCCAAATTGTCTTTTTAGTTTTTTACTCTCTTTTAGAAGTTTTTTTCCCCACTTTTTAAGATTTTCAGCATTATTTTTTACAATTGGCAGTGCTGTGTATTTTAGTTTCACATTATTTCCAAAACTGAAGATATAAATTGTGTAAAGACTTTTGGAGAGTTTTAGTTTGTCTTATGTCTTTTTTACAAATTTAAGACTCCATGAAAGTGCATTATCACAGCATGTAGGGTGGAAGCCTGAAGAGTGTGTGAGAATGTTGAAACTCAGGAGTGATCTGTGACGGACGACTTTTCTTGGGGTCTTGGCTCGTGGGTGACTATGTACACAGTGGTGACCCTCAGTGAATTTTAATCGATCTTGTTAAGAGTCGGATGGCCTGACAGTATCCCAGAGGAGCACAGCCATCAAGCTGAGTGTGTGTGTGGTAGCCACAGTGCAGTACCTCTGTTCTCAGCAGCTGGTTTCCTTATGAACATAGATCATTCATTTGTCATTCATCTCTACTCACCCAACTGTCTGCAGTATTCCTGAGTATTTTGCTCTCAAAAATGTTATTATTGCCTATTTTATTGTCTAAAATGACCTATGAAGTGTTCTGTTATGTTTTTATGTTTTTGAATAAGTTCCCCTTTTAAAAATGTAAATAAATTTCTTTTAAGGAATTTTTGAATTTGTTTTTCCTAGGATCCTGTTTTCAGGAGTTTAGACATTAAAGATTTTCATCTTTGGGGATTTGAGCATTCAGGATTATGGCATTTGGTATTATTTTTCCTTTCGGTATTATAGCTCAAACCCCTTTGAAGCCAGGCATGCTTTCATTTCGCTCCAGCCCCTCCCCCAGCCAGCTGTTGGGTTGTCACCCTCTGTGGCTCCCAGCACCTCTTGGTCTGTAGACAGAGGTGAGAGAGAGGCTGACACAGTCTCGTGAGGATGTTAGACCAGTCACAGTGGATGGGAGCAAATAGTTGTGGGTGGCTGTGTGACAGGAGACACACACAGGCATGGCAGTGCTGTGTCCCTACAGTGCATGTGCCCATGTCTTTAAACAGGAGAGTGCTTCCAGGCCAAGGTGGGGGTTGTCTGTGAAGGAGACAGTTGTGTATTCTTGGGTGTTTCAAGGAAGATGTGCATGTGAGACTCACCCAGAGGCTTTTCTTCCAGAGCTCTTTGACATCTGTCTTGCCCGGGCCAAGGAGCGGTGGCGGTCTCTCAGCTCAGGAGGCTCAGACGTGGAGAGTGAAGGTACAGACCATTCTGAAGCCTGAGCGATGCGCGGTCAATCGTGGATGCCTCTCCCATTACAAAACAGAGCTGGCTTGACTGCAGTAGGCTTCATGTGGATGTGTGTTCAGCTCTAGGGGAAAGGGGGCTTTTAAAGCAAAAATGGAAGGTAAATAACTGTAAGAAATAGTGCCCCAGTTCCTGAGAGGTGTTTTCACCCCACCATAGGAGGGCTGCTCACAGTGCACCGTTTCCCTGGAGGCTGCTCATCGGACTTCAGGCTGTGCCCAGATCACCTGAGCGTTAGCTTAGCATGGAGCTTGGGTCAGCTTCCCGAGAGCAGGAGCTCTGCACTCAGGCTGAACTGTGCCTTTATAAGTGTTCACAGCACACCAGAGTAACCACTTTGTTGGCTAAGAAGCATGTTTTTAAGTGGCCTTTAAAACTATTGTCTGTGTGGCAATTGAATTCAAAAAAGAATAAAACAAATTATTCATGAAAAGTTGTGAGAATATTACACAAGTGTCTTACACGTGAGTGTATGCTATAGTAGCTCCCTCAGTTCTCTGCATTTAAATTTTGTTTTATTTTAACTTGTTTTTTAAATGTACTTGCCATGTAATGTTTTAAAGTTTATGCACACATGGATTCACTCAGTTTAGCTGATTACCATGCCTCTGGTGATCTTAGGGTTCCAGGCAGGAATAGTTTCCATCACAGTCAAGCTCTTCAAGATAGTATCGAGGGTTGGGATTAAATGGCTCAGTGGTAAATTGCTTGTCTAGCATGCATGAGGCCCTGGGTTCAATCCCCAGCACAGCAAAACAAACAAACAAACAAAAGACAGTATGGAATCAATTATGTCACCTTGTTGATAGTAGCTTTCTGGAACTTATTCATCCCATCTAACCAAAATTTTGTATCCTTTGGCTGGTATCTCCTCAGTACCCCCTGGCCTCTGGCAGCCACTGTTCTGGCCTCTGGCAGTCACCTTTCTTTCCTCTGCTTCTATGATGTTTAACTGTGATGTTTAACTAATTCATAGAAGCAGAGGACAGAATAACGGCTTTTACTTTATTTCTTTATTAGCATCATGTCTCCCTGTCCTTCAACAGGTTTATCCTTGTTGTTGAAAATGACAGGATTTCCCTTTCTTTTTCTGGCTGAATAGTATTTTTTTTGAACCAGGGATTGAATCCAGGGGCACTTAACCAGTGAGCCACATCCTCAGCCCTCTTTTATATTTTATTTGGAGACAGGGTCTTACTGAATTGCTTTAGGACCTTGATAAGTTGCTAAGGCTGGCTTTGAACTCATGATCCTCCTGCCTCAGCCTCGTGAGCCACTGGGATTAGAAGCATGCATCACCGCACCTGGCAACACATTTTCTTAATCTCTTCATCCACCAGTGGACAGTAGGCTGTTTCCACTCCTCGGCTGTTGTGAACAGTGCTGCAGTGAGAACCGAGTGCAGGTGGTCTTTGACTGATCTCATCTCCTTTAGAGATAAATACCTTGTAGTAGGATGGCTGGATTCTATGTAGTTTCATTTTTAATTTTTGAGGCCACATCTGTACCAATGATGTTTGAGATCAGCTAATGACTTTTGCTGTGGTTTCTGTGCCTGGAGGTCTTTGTGTTGGATTCTGCTACTTGTCCTATTTCCCCCTGGTAGTTGTAATTTAGTCAAATTAGATGTTGATTTCAGGTTCTAGAAAATAATCTGATGCTGCTGTGGCCTTGGTTGGGGCCATGGGTGTTCTGTTCCCTAAAGCGAGGAACTCTGCACCTACCCCACCTCCTGAGGTGGGCTTCCCAGAGCTTTTTCTCGGGGCCTGCTTGCAGGACTGCAGCACCTCATGTCACCCCAACCTCTAAGGAGTGCAATGACTCTGGATCTTTTGACAGATGCTGGGTTTTCAGCCGCTGACAAAGAGGCCAGTCTGGAGCTTATTAAACTGGACATTTCTAGAACGTTTCCTAATCTCTGCATTTTCCAGCAAGTAAGTCATAGTGATTTGTTGCAAGTGTGTTTTGTCTAAAATTCATAAATGCCAATCTGCATGAATTTGTAATCAAGTTTGAAAGTTAGGGGTTTTGGGGGGTAGGGTGGGTACTTCTGTTAAAACATTTAGACATTTTAAATAAATGTAACTGATCAATTCCAACAAATATGACTACGTCAGCACTTGTGTTTTAATGGCGAGACTTCCTCATGATACGAATGCGTCACAGCCTCTGGATGGCACAGAAGGGCCACAGGCGGTTGTCAGTGCTTTCCTTATGAGTGCACATACCAGCCTGTGCTCAGCAGGTTGCAGACGTGTGACCCCAGAGTCTAGTACAGCCATCTGGGACAGGAGGACAAAGGGAGACACCTTTGTCCTTGGTGGCACCCTGGGAGCCTTGGTGTAGCCTGGTGGGGCTGAGCAGAGGTGTGGGGCATCTGAGCAGGTGGGCCAGGAGGATGGGACCCCTCTGGAACAGAAGCCAGCTGCTGGAGACAGGATGGAGACAGGCTGTTCTCTCTGGATGGCAGTGGGAGCAGAGTGGTACTTCTTGTGGGCATGGATTTTGGAGTCCTCTGAGAGGAGTTCTTTGGAGACCCTCTAATCTGTGTGTCGGCAGACATCCCTCTGGGGTCCCTGGGACCTCTCCCTCACCACTGCAGCCGTGTTGTCAGTTCTCCTTCCAGGGTCTCTTTGCATCTGTCCCTTCTCCATGCTGACTGCCTTTGCTCACCTCAGGTTCGTCCCTCCTCTCCTCCCACACCTCCTTCTATTCACCTCCCTGCCTTCAGAGCAGCCTTGGATGCTCTAGTCTGACTCCCTTGTGCTCAGGTTCCTGGCACAGTGCCTTATACACAGCTTACCAGTAAATGATGGTAGAATGAGACAGAATAGATTAGTTAAGTGGCTGCAGAATGAGGGCCTGGCAGGAGTGTTGCTGGATCCAGGTCCTTTAAAGGCATAGGGAGGCACTTCTGCTGGAGATGTCCCAGAGGGCAGGAGAGCATTCCAGCAGAAGCAGGTGTAGGATGGGAGCTCAGGACAGCCAGGCATTCAGGAAATGCCCAATTCCCTGTAGGAGAGAGAGCTTGCTAAAGAATGTAGAGGACACGTGTCAGTTCTTTCTAGCCTCCTAGCAGTAGCTACTTTGTTCTGAGCTGGGAACCAGATGTGGATGGTGGGCTGGAACTAAGAAGGACTGCTTCAGAGCTTGAGCAGAGAGTGCCGTGGCCGAGCTCTGGGATACTGGTTTGTGGCTGAGAAGGACAGGCAGACAGACCCAGGTGCCCAGGCACTGGGGACCAGCCAGTGTGGGTGCAGCACTGAGGACTGCTGGTGCTTGAGTGGGTTGGAAGGGAGGACTGAGGAGGTGTTGGCCTCCAGGGGCAGTATGTGGTTGCCAGGTCAGAGTGACTTCAAAGCAGGGATCTCAAGAGCCTGAGTGTGGAGGGTCCTCAGACGTGGACATGGCTGCCCAGAGTCTGCTGTCTCCCACCTGTCGCCTTCCTGGTGCCTTATGGGGTACTCTTACTCTCTTGCTTCCTCCTGATTCTAAATCCAGCCAGGAACACTCCCGTATGGGTCTTTAGAAATCTTTGCAGAGGGTCTGTCCTCTCTAGAGAGGGAGAGAATCTACAAAGCTACCCAGAGGCCTGGTCTTGGTGTCACGTTGGTGGAACCTGTGAGCGCCCCAGGGTGGCAGGCCTTAACTGGGCCCTGTCTCCATTCCTTCCCCTCCCACCTGACAGTTCTTCTCCTTGCTCTTCTTTACAGCTGTTAGTTCCCTGAGGCCTCGAGCACCTCAGGCTTTGCAGCTCTCCTTAGCTTTCATGAATAGGCCCAGGCTTTTCTTACTCTGGGAGGGCTTTATCCTGCTTGAGTCCCAAGGGCTCCCCGCCCCACACCAGGGTTCTCACACCTCATCCTTCCTTGCATGAAGGCCAAGAAGTATTGCTTTGTAGAAAGGGTTTCAAAGCAGATTTGGGCTTGCATTCCATTGCCTTCTGGCTAGCTTGTGGCCTTGGGGCAAACTGTCCCCTCTGAGCCTCCTCTTGTTCATCTGTAACCTGGGGATGCTCACAGCTACCTAACCAGGCTATTGGCACATAACAGGTACTCCATCAGTGCTCAGTTATTATTTACTATCTTTGACTCCTGCCACCAGCTGAAGGGCCGTTTTTCCCCTCAGGCAGCCTAGAAGAGGTGTGGTAGGCCCACTAGGCTAGAGGCCTTGTCTTCCTGATCTTTCCCTGCAGTGTAGGATCAGAGGGAGCTTAGTAACCTTTCTGACTAGTAGAGATAAAAGGAAGGGAGGATCCTGGGAGGACTGTCCTGAGGAGAGGGGAGCAAGAAGAACTCAGATGACAGTTGGGGCAGTGTTTCCTAAAACGGTTCCTAAAACCTTCCTTGCTGTTGGCAAACTCAGGTTATGGGATTCACATGTTTGTCTACACATGGTGCCACAGAGCCCTCAGAGCCTGCAAAGGCCCTACAGCAGCCCAGGCCCAGCTTCTCCATTCCCTGGCCCCAGGGCCCCCGAGCAGCTCCCTGGGCATACCACCAGGGACTTGGCTTCAGAAATGCTGAGCTGGAGAATCCCTGGGTAGCTCTCTGGAGGTGGAGGGTAGACCAGGAAGAAGGGCAGTGGGAGCTGTGGGGTCCCTTTTGAGGGGTTGGGGCAGGTGGTAGAGAGGTTGCCTCTTCTCTCTGGGTTGCTTTGTGCAAACAAGTCTCCCTCAGCCTGTGGGTCCCAAGGTTCTCAATCTCATGAATAGTTAATGGTTAATAACAAAGGGCAGTGGGGAAACAGATGTCCAAAAGCAAGTTAAGGGCCTTTAGAAGAAGGAGCTGCCACTTGCTGGCACTGGAGCAAGAAGGCAGGAATCACAAGGGTGAACAGTGCTTTCCCTTAATAACATGCAGCTTTCACAATACCTTTCTCCTTCAGCCTGAGACAGACAAGACAAAGCCTCCCCATAGTCACTCTTGGTTTTGTGGTGGCCTTGATTCTGTACCTCCCCCAGGCCTGGATGCCATCTTTTGACTCTGTGATTGTTATTTTTCCTTCTCTCATTCTTCTCATTTGCAAGTGTCTCTTACTTAGCATGGGTCAGCATGTGATGGGAGGTGCCCAAGTCACCTGGAGATTGACTTCTGTCACATGCCAGGAGTGTTGCTACTCTTGTGTCAGCCACCGGCACACTGCAGCCACCAGCACCTGGTCTGGAGGGGTTTGCATTGGGCCCAGCCGGTCCCTTCATGGTGTCTTCTTGCACACCGGCAGTAGTGTGAGGTGGCTCAGGGCTTTCTTTGCTCCATCAGGGGGAAAAAAAGGGCTACCACTAATATTTTTAGAAGCAGTTAAAGGAGCAAATGGAAATCTTGAAGTGAATGGAGAGCTGGGAGAGTGACTGAAATAAAGTGGCAGCTGCCAACACCTAAGGCTAGAGCCTTTCCCCAGACCTGTTATTCAGAAAGATGCAAAAGATGGAAGGAGCATGTCATTTGGGGGCAGGGAGGCAGGAAGGACCCTCAGGATGAGGGCATCTAGGGATGGGATGCTGCAGAGTCACCGTCTGCATGGCCAGGAGCAGGACTGCCTGAAGAGCTTCCTGCCCACTCAGGTTGACTTTGAAGGGAATGTGGCATTCAGCAGGAGTAAAGACATTTTACTAGGCGCTCACTCCTGACCCACCAACCTTTTCAGAGCAGCTTCATGGTTGAGCAGCACACCTCCTTGTTAACTGCGAGTTGGTATTTAGTCTGTTAAACTGCATCTGCATGTAGAGCTGCAGCCTGATGCTTGGCATCTCTTCCTCTGTAAGTAGCAAGTGACTGGTGGTGGCAGCATCCAGCGCTGTTCTGAGAACTAACAGTACTTATGCATGTGATGTTTTTGGTTGTTGATCCTTCTAGGGTGGCCCGTATCATGACATGTTGCACAGTATTTTGGGCGCTTATACTTGTTACCGACCGGATGTGGGCTATGTAAGTGAAGTTTTTTAGTACTTTATAATGTTACAATCTATAAAGAAAGTTGAGATTTTATCCAAAATGCCTCAGCTGCCGATGCCAGGTTGAATGCCTTTGTCTTTTATTGAGGAAGATGAAAGGCCTCCTGGCAATGAATTGACTCCATCCCACATAAAGAAGTTGAGCTGACTCGGCTGCTGGGTGGCGTTAATCACACTTGAACTGGGTGTGATTTCCATTTTCTGCATGTGATTTTTTTTCCCTAACATTAATTCAATAAAGCCTCAAGTGGTAACCATTTTTGAAAAGTGTGCTGCCAGCATTTCTGCAGCTTAGCACGCGTGTGTGTATGGTCTTTTGTTAAACATGCTAAATCAGATGTGCCTGTCTGTAGCCCCAGGACAGGGCCCTTACTGAGAACAGTTTCAGATGCAAAGGCCTAATGGGAATTGGCTATGGTTTTCCATTTGGAGGGGTGGGGTGCCAATGAAGAGTGGAACAGGTGGCCTTTGGGCTGAGTGGTGGCACTGAGAGGACTGGTCAGAGTGGGTGGGGCCAGCAGTTCAGCTTCGAGTGAGCAGTAGTGGGTGGGTGGCTACACGGACCCTTGTGCTGTGAGGACAAGCTGCTGTGAGTTGACACACTTTCTCTCCCTCCCCAGGTTCAGGGCATGTCCTTCATAGCGGCAGTGTTGATCTTGAACCTCGACACTGCAGATGCCTTTATTGCTTTTTCTAATCTCTTGAATAAACCCTGTCAGATGGCGTTTTTCCGAGTGGACCATGGCCTTGTAAGTATGCTCTGTGTACGTGCCCCGGGTGCTGTGTCTTTATGGAGTTGCCCATAAAGCCCTCTGAATTTTCAAGGGGGAAAAAGAATGCATTTTTCCTTCACAAAGAGATATTGACAACAAGGAACACTATGGAGTGGGAGAGTACCTGGGCATGTTTGAGATAAGCATAGAAACAGGAGTTCAGTGGCCATGTGTAAGAGTGGATTAGTGCATTCTGTCTTTAAATGAGGGAGGAGGGTGGCTCCAGTGCAAACATATGTACTTGGTGTGTCAGGAAAACCTATGGCAGTGTCCACCTTGGGTCTGTTCCATACAGTATCTTAGAATTGACCTTTGCTACCAATCACAGTCACGTGGGGCCTCTGGAATGTGCTCCTACATGGGAGAAAGGAGGCATGTTTAAGAGCATGCCCCTTTATTGTAAAATGAAGCAGCAGTTTGTTCAGCATGCTGCTACAGATGGTCTTTACCACACTGAACAAATGGAAGGAGTTGACAGTGGTTGCCTGATGGCCCTAACACACTTAGCAACTGAGTCCTCTGCTTGGTACAGGTGAGGGAAGAGGCTCAGGAGGGCAGAGTGACTTGTTCAAGACACATCTAGTATGTGAAAGAGCTGAGGTTTGAATCCATTCTGGTTCCTGAGCCTTTGCTCCTTATGTAGCCTGGAAGAAGACTTAGCAGTTCGTGAATCCCTCAGCGTTTAATCTAGCCTCGTCTCAATGCACAGAGGGATCACTAGTGCTCCAGCACCTGGTGATCTACTACTTGAGATCAGCTGGGGAGGGCTTCTTCCCTCCCCAGCTGTACTCCCCAGCTTAAGGACTTATGGGTACTCCTCAGAAAACGTGCTAAATTGGTGGCTGCTGGGAAATATGAACTAGTAGGGTCCTCTTGGAAGACAACAAGATTCATAATTGTGAATATGGAAACTGTTTAAAGTGGGGCTCAGCAAATGCAGTAGTGGATTTACATCTGGGGCTCACCAGTGCAGCAGTGATAATCTGTCATGTGAGGGAGTGCTGAAGGAACCTCACTAATTTTTTCAAGAGTCTGTAAAATCGAACATATGATATAATTACAACCGTATTTGATCGACAGTCACAGGACATGAGCTCAGCTATAGTGTTTGTGATAGGTAGCCAGAGTTCAGTGGAATGCATGTATTGTCTAAGTTTTCTGCAGTGAGCATTTACACGTATTGCTTTCATAATCGATCAGGTGAGAACTTTTCAAGAAATATAATCGTCAGAGATTGAAAAAATCTTTAGGACAGGTTCTTACTCTTGAGATGACTCATCAGTGCTAACACATATTGCCTTGATGTTGCTCCTGAAATTTATTCCTAGGAAATATTCCTGATGTAAATTGAATTTTACCCTTATAATAAAACAATCCCTCTCAAATTTCTGCTAACTTTGAAGACTCCAGCTTTTTCTTTGTAAATATGTAATAAAAACTATAATTAGTTTAGCTTGTATTTTTGAGGGAAAATTCTAGAAAGGGAATATTGAGTGGGACCATCCTTTATGGCAGGGTTCTCACAGGTGGTGCTGCTGTCCTTTGGACTGAACTTTCTTAGATGGTCTAGGACAGGAATGAGCCTGTAAAACTCAGCCTTCACCCTGGGACAGGCATGGATTCGAGTACCAGCTCTACCATATATTAATAATAATGCTCTTCTACCCCTGTTAGGCACATCCTGTAACTGCTCTTGGGTTCAGTAGCTAGTGATGCTATTGTGAGATTAGAGATAGTGCTTATCATAATTTGCCTGAATAGCACCTACAGTTAGTTACCATTCAAAACATGTAGCAATTTTATAAGATAATCATTAGATTCTAAAGGTATAAACATATTGACTCTTTTTCATAGGTTGAAAACTTGTGCTGATAATTAGTTTATTAGTATATTTCACATTGTCTCCCTAGATGTTGACTTATTTCGCTGCATTTGAGGTATTCTTTGAAGAAAATTTGCCGAAATTATTTGCTCATTTCAAGAAAAACAACTTAACTCCAGACATCTACCTAATAGATTGGTAAGACTGTTTTCTGTGGTTTTCCGTGTTTTCTCGTCCCCTGCCCGCTTTCCACTGTCCTCATGGTGAGCTTCTTCCAGGGCTTATCTGAATTCCCATGCCCTGCTTCCTGGCTTCCTCTCTGCCCTGCCCAGGAGGTGCCAGCTATCCTCCAGAGCCTTGCTCTGCTAATCATGTCTCTGCACTGTGGGCTTCCTTTTACTACCTGGCCCTTTTAGATTCCTCCAGAGAAAGATGATGTCTTGGATCTGTTTGTTTTCAAAGTGCTGTTTGTCCATCTATAAACAGATGAGATGTCTGTAGGTGGCAGGTATGTGCCAGGCCCTCTGCCAAGTGCCTGGGGTGGTGATGAGCAGGATGCAGTGCCCACTTGCAAGGAGCTGCTGCTGCTGTGGAGAGGCCTGGGTCCTCCCTGCAGAGGGAAGGAGGAGGTGCTAGACCTGGCCTAGGGGTCAGAGTCCACTGAGGAAAGGCATGGGGGCGGGAGGAGCAATGTGTGGGGTCCCAGAGAAGCAGCAGGTGGGTGGGTGGGGTTGGGCTTACATCAAGAGGCCAAGGTTGGGCAGGGGGAATTTGGGAGCCAGGTTGTGGCAAGTCTCAGAGGCCATACTAAGGGATTGGGCAGGATTTGGAGGTCACAGGGGCACTTGAAGGCCTGTGTTGGGGCACAAGTGAGTTTTGAGTGACTTGCGAAGCAGGAGTTCCTGGGGAAGAGAGACCAGCAAAGGGCAATGGAAGTGGTAAGGAGCAGGGAGTTGGTGGGTTCCAGGAACATGCTGGTCTTGATGTCAGACAATTGCTGGCCTCATGGTCCAAGCCTAAGCATCAGAGCTGAGATCAGAAATGGGGGCAGATCTGGGTTAGGACTCAGGAATTGTGAGGTGTCTGTGGACTGTCTAAATAGAGGCCTCCTGAGACCCACAGTGAGAAGTTCAGAGAGTTTGCTGGAGCCGTACCCAAGGCACAGCTGTGTACAGAAGGGAATGGGGTTGCTGAGAAAAGGGTGTGGCCGTCACCCCAGAGAGTATGCCAGGTTGAGGGCCAGGTGAGAGGACCAGGCACCTGAGTGAAGGGAGGAGTTGTACCTCAGGATCCAGCAGCCCCTGCAATGACCCCAGGGTCTTTCATACTGCCTGCGGCCTTGTGATGGCCATGAAGCCCCTCCATGCCCTGTGCCCTGCTTGGCCCATGCGGAACCCACAGGATAAACCTTTCAGGGCATTTCAAGACAACACCCCCAAATTGGGAAGGGGCTCTGCAGAAGAGAAAAAATGCCATAATGAAGAGAGGGTGTTTGGCTTGACCCCCCCCCCCCTTCTTCTGCCCCCTGTTGTGATTAGGCTTTTTATATTGAAACAGGGTCTGGCTAAGTTTCCCAGAACTTATAGTCCTCCTGCCTCAGTCTTCCAGGTAGCTGGGAGTGCAGGTATGTACTATCACACTCTGCTAGGAAGTACATTTTATATGGTGACCCTGTGTGCAGCCTTGTGTGCAAAAACTTAATGTGTATGTGCCAAGAACAAGAGTTCCATGAAGCGACTTAACCCTAATGTGGGGAGTGTTCTGAAGCTTTGTCCCCCAAAGCTTCTGTTAATGCAGGATGCTCTGAAGTGTAATGATTGGCTTGTGAGAGATGCAACCTCATCAGCCCATCCAGTTTGAGGACTGGGTGGTGATATGGTCTGGTGGGACATGGCTGGAGAAGGTGGGTCACCAGGGGCATGTGCTGGAAGGGAGCATCCTCCCTGCTTTCCTCTCTCTGCTTCCTGCTGCCATGAGCAGGGTGGTGCTTCTCCACCGTACACTTCTGCTGTGATGTTCTGCCTCTGCTTGGGCCTAGGGCAGTGAACTTGGCCCGCTGTGGACTGAACCTCTGAAACTATGAGCCAGAATAAACCTTTCCTCCTCTAAGCTGTCCTTGTCAGCATATTGGTCACAACAGTGAAAAGCTGGCTAGCACTACCCCTCACTTTCTTCAGGAGGCAAGAGGGCTTCTAGAAAATGCAATCCAAATGTCATCCACAATGAGGCCACACCCTCTGATGGAGCCCACCTGTCACACCGTGGGACTCTTGGTGTGTGTAGCTTCTGTCTTTAACACTGAGACTGTTCTGGCTCCACTCACTTTTTGTGTGCATGAGGGTTAGGAGGTTGGAACTTACAGCTGAAGCTACAGGGACCAGTGTTGCCATGGAACAGTTGTGAGGCCATGGATTAGCCACAGGCTGGGATGCTTAGCTGGTCTGTCTGGCTAAGTGTTTGGGGCACCTTCATTCAACAAATGATGGTTTCTCCCTACACCCTTGAACGTTGACTGTGTGGGAGGCCCCTTGCCATCCCAATACTGTTCACTTGACCATGAACCCTCACCCCACAGATTCCTGGGTCAGGACTGGGACAGGAAGAGGATTTTGGGAGGGGAAGGGTCCAGACAGGCCCAGATCCTTCTGCATCTACTCAATTAAGTTGAAGGCTTCTACTTGAGTTTTGGGATTCTAGGCTGGGGGCCAATACTGTCTAGCAGGGGGCTGGGGGTAGCTCAGTGGTAGAGCACTTGCCTGGCATGTGTGAGGCACTGGGTTCAGTTCTCAGCACCACATGAAAATAAATAAGGCCGGGAGTGGTGGTGCATGCCTATAATCCCAGCAGCTCAGGAGGCTGAGATAGGAGGATTCCAAGTTCAAAGCCAGCTTCAGCAATGGTGAGGCACTAAGCAACTCAGTGAGACCCTGTCTTTAAATAAAATACAAAATAGGCCTGGGAATGTGTCTCAGTGGTCAAGTACCCCTGAGTTCAATCCCCACTACCAATAAACAAACAAATAAATAAAGGTCCATTGGCAACCAAAAAAATATATATATATATATATATATATATATATATATATATATATATATAATTTTTTAAATTAACTTTTTAAATTAATATATGACACCAGAATGCATTACAATTCTTATTACACATATAGAGCACAATTTTTCATATCTCTGGTTGTATACAAAGTATATTCACACCAATTTGTGTCTTCATAAAATGTACTTTGGATAATAATGTCCATCACATTCCACCATCATTTCTAACCCCATGCCCCCTCCCTTCCCCTCCCAGCCCTCTTCCCTATAGAGATCGTCTATTCCTCCCATGGTCCCCCTCTCTACCCCACTGTGAATCAGCCTTCTTATGTCAGAGAAAACATTCGGCATTTGGTTTTGAGGGATTGGCTAACTTCACTTAGCATTATCTGAAAAATATATATTAAAAAAAGAAATTTCTAGCGAACTTTTTCACCCTGATTGCAGAAGGAAGTATTTCACTTCATCTTATTTATTTTTTGGTACTGTGTATTAAACTCAGGGGCATTTTACCACTAAGCTACTTACCCAGTCCTTTTTATTTTTTATTTTGAGACAGGGTCTTGCTAAGTTTCCCACAATTTATGGTCATGCCTTCTTCTCTCCAGGTAGCTGGGAGTGCAGGTGTGTACCATCACACCCTGCTAGGAAGTACATTTTACATGGTGACCTTGTGTGCAAAAACTTAATGTGTATGTACCAAGAACAAGAGTTCCATGAAGCGACCTGACCCTAATGTGGGGAGTGTTCTGAAGCCTTCTGTTCTCTTATTGATTACCAGCCCTCACTGACTTCACAGTCCACTGGTGGCTGGGTGGGTCATGCCCAGAGGACAGCTCTGCCTCTTCTGTCCCAGCCAATGGGTGGCTATAATTCTAGGTGTCCACCTGAAAAGAAAGCTCCAAGGGTTTCCAGAGCTGAGGGTTTTATTCTGTGATGTGATTGCTGCTCACTGCACCTCCATGAGGCCCCTGCAGGGCCGGTTTATTTTTGACGAAATCTGCACCATCTGCGTTTGCAGTGCCAGCGCTGGGCACACAGGACGTCCTCAGTAAAAACTGTTTAAGTTGAACGTGGCACAGGACACATACATTTTATGGTTTTTTTTTTCGTACTGGGGATTGAACCCAGGGGTACTTTACTACTGAGCCACATCCCAGTCCTTTTTAGTTTTTAGTTGAGACAGAGCATTGCTAAGTTTCTGAGGCTGACCTCAAATTTATAATCCCCTTGCCTCAGTCCCCAAGCTGCTGGAAGTATAGGCGTGTGCCACCATGCCTGGCTCTTGGCTTCTTTAGTCAAGCTGTGTCTGTACCTGGAAGCTGTGTCTCCACCTTACAGAGGAGGTGGGTCCGTAGTGATCAAGGTTGTCTGTTGGGTGCTGACAGTTAGGTGAAAGCTCCATCAGAAGCAGGTGAGCAGTGAGGAAGAAGCAAAGGTCAAGAACAGACCTTGCTCAGGCCTGGCCTTGAAGCTCCTGTTTGGGAATCGCACACTGAAGGTACCCTGTTTCTGAGCACAGAGGAGGTCCCTGAGGCCCATTCTCCCTGTGTCTCCCCTGTAGTACGTGGTCCAGGTTGGTCTGACTCAGATCCTTGCTCCCCTTCCATCACGCTTCCTTCCTCTGAAGCTGTGTCTGCACCTGGAAGCCCTGGGCCTGTCTTGGGTTGCATGTGCCATGTGGTTGGCACTGTGCACGTGCCTGTGGTGTGACCACCCCAGGGCTAGAGCAACCAACTGCTTGGGTGAAAGAGCCCTTTTCTTCTCTCCATGGCAAAGCCTGAGGGCACCGTGCAGTGTGGCCTCAAGTGTCCTGGGTGTGCTCTGCAGTGCTCAGATGAGAATGCTGCAATTCAGGTAGGAGAAGTGCCCTTCTCTGCTGTCTGTCCCCAGAGCCTGCTTCCCTCCCTCCCACCACCAGCCATACTGAGCTGTTAGCCTTGTGGGTTACTCCTGTGTTCCCAGAGCCTGGACCCAGGTCAGCTCATGTCCTGGGCACAGGCACACCTATTCTTCCTAGGCCTTCCTTTGGATAGGCTGGTGGGACATGGCTGGAGGAGGTGGGTCACCAGGGGCATGTGCTGGAAGGGAGCATCCGCCCTGCTCCTCTTTCCTCTCTCTGCTTCCTGCTGCCATGAGCAGGGTGGTGCTTCTCAACTGTACACTTCTGCTGTGATGTTCTGCCTCTGCTTGGGCCCAGGGCAGGGAACTTGGCCCACTGTGGACTGAACCTATGAAGCCATGAGTCTGAAGCCTGGCCGAAGCCCACTCAGCTGTTTGCACTCCTCCTTGAGGCTCGCAGGGAGGTGGTTTTGCTGATGAGAGCTCTTACCCAGGTGTGCCTTGCTTCTCTTTATCATGTGGACGTGGGGATCAGAGCCGGGGCTTGTCACCTGTCTTTGTCCTCCCACAGGGCTTTGAGTGGCCAGCTGTCAAGGGTCCACACTCTGGGAGGACTGGCACAAGGTCATTTAACTTGCAAAATATCTCCCACTGCTGCCTAGTGGCATGATTTTTTTGGAGGCATAAGTGGATTTTATGATAGTCTTAATTTAATCAAAGTATCAAGTGGTACACTCCATATTGTGCTTATTAGTGGCTTTGGCAATGGTGTTTACCTAGAAAGCCTATCATTACATGGATTCCCACCTTACAGAGGAGGTGCAGGGCAAGTGGACTCCCAGGAGATAGCTGTCGTTTCCTGCACGGGGTTCATGGGTGGCTCTCAGCTTCTGGGCCAGAGGTCTGCCCAGGACTTGGGACTCCTCAAGTGCAAGCACTGCTTTGCCATCAGCCTTCTCCAGAGGGATGGAGCCTCCGGCATGCAGGAGGTGTTAACTGAAGCCTATTGGCTAAGCTTCATATTCTGCTTGGTGCTGGGGCAGAGAGGAGAGTGCATGGGCTTGGGGCAATATAGACTGCACTGCCCTCAGGACCAGGCAGGGCATCTCAGGTTTGGTGTCTGCACCTCTGCCTTTGCTTAGTGCTGAGTCTATGCCAGTAGTGACTCTTGAGTAAGTTTCAGAGTCTGCTGAGGCTTAGTGGAGACTTCTTACCTAGCACACTTGTTCCTGGTCTCTGAGTTTCTTAGGAACACAGGGATCCCCAGGTGCCGTGAGGTAAAGGATGAAGCCAGGATACAGCTGGATACTGGGGTGTCAGGGCCTGAAAATCCCAATCTCAGTGTGACTTCATGATGACTGAGGCTGCTAGGTGACTTTTACCCTTTTATTTTACACTGAAACCTGCTTTTCCACCACCTTCCTTTCTTGGTAGTTTCCTCCTCTGCCACATAGGGTGAGACTGCGCCTCCTCGAAAGGCTTTAGGGAGGAGGTGTGGGGTGGCACCCAGCACAGCAGCAAGCAGTCACTTGCCCTGTGTAGCCTGGGCAGCTTGAGGCAGACCAGGGTCCCTCTATTGCAAGGACACTGACTGCCTTCTGTACTGCTGGCTCCTGAAGCTTTGCCCCATAGCTGCTTACAGTGGCCCTGAACTCTCTCTGTGCCTCCCTAGTGCCCCATTTCCCTTCTGCTCAGGTAGGCAGCTGGAAGAGATGTGGCTGGAGAGGAGAGTCTACCTGTATCCACACATGTGGGGAGGTGGGTGCACATGGATTGGTCTTTCTGTCTTTTTAATAAGCCCATAGCCACTCTGTTGGCATAGCAACACAAAAATCCATTGTTGTGCATTACTTGGACCTAAACGTGCTGTATTTGATACACAGTGCAGTAATATGCAGTGCTCCAGGTTGGGGTAGGGAACAAACATTTCTTGGGAGACAGAAACCCATGGATTCTCTCTTCCCACTATGGGGAGAGCAGGAAGGGGGCCTGGCAGACTGCCAGGGATTCCTGCTCATCCCTGTTCCCACACAGTCCTTAGCTGAGGGGAGGCTGAGGCCAGGTGGTGGGGAAGGGGTTCTTGGGCCAGTGTGTGGACAGCAGCCCTTCAGTTCATTGGGTCAGCTTCCCTGGCTGGGTTTCTGTGGGAGCTGGACTGAACCTGGTATCTCCTTCCCAGGCAGTGGCCCGAGCCCAGCAGCCCTTTACCTGAGACTTCCAGGTGAGGGTACTGTGTAGCTGCTTCCTGAGAGAGTGCTTCAGTGTCCCATGTGCACCTGGCTCCTGTGTTTAAATGTGGTTTAAAATACAGCTGAGCATCTGAAAATTACTGGTTCGAGGCACAGGCTTTGTAATCTGCCAGGCTCTGGTCTGATCCGTTCAGCTGTCTCTTTGCTGTGCGGGAAGCAGGTGGCTCCTTGGCACTGCAGCTCCCTCAGCATAACTCTTCACTTGTTGGACTGTCTGAAGACAACTGAATTAATGAAAAAGATTAGCACAGGGCTTTTTGCGTTGGGGTGGTCATTATTGAGGAATGAACCTATGGCTGCTTTATCACTGAGCCACATCCCCCCAGCCCTTTTTGAGACTGGGCATCACGAAGTTGCTGAGGCTGGCCTTGAAATTGTGATCCTCCTGGCACAACCTCCTCAATCACTGGGTTTACAGGCATGCGCCACTGCGCCCTGCCTTTCTCACTTTTTAAAATTCAATGTTAACAAGTCTGTTCTGGGCGGAGTTGAGAGCAATTTGAAGATTGAGGAAACACAAGATCTCAAGACCTTTCTTGAACTGTGCTTTCTAGACCCAGTGATGACAGTGTTTTCTGTTTTTGTGATGGTAAGAAGCTTAGGACAGAGCTACTTGACACTAAAGCGAGTTCCCTGCAGCAGAAGCCCTGCAGTGCCTGGCAGAGGGAGCTTTGGGTCAGGGCCACTTACTCCTGGAGGTAGGTACTGCTAGTGAGACAGCTGAGGCTGCAGGCAGTGGGTGTCCCACATGCCTAGGACAGACTCTTACTCCACAGACACACAGTGGCCCTCAGCTCTGCTGTCTTCAGGATACAGGGTTTCCTGTGGCCTCTGCCTCCTGCTTGTCATCTGAGTGGAAAGAAATCTCAGTTGTTGTGCCTGTCTTCCCAGAGTCTCCTAGAATTTTCAGCTACTGGCAGGCCTGGCCGGTCATGGATGTGCTAGGTGCTCACCCTTGGCCAGGTGCTCCTCCGCATCCTGGCAGAGCCCTGCAGGGTGTGGTGGGCTCAGAGCCCACTGCATCCTGTGGTTTGCAACAGATGGAGAATCTGTCCTGAGACGTGAGCAGACCTCCCATGTGAGGAGCTTTCTGGTGGACTGTGTCATCACTAAGTTAGGTTGCACTGCAGAAGTTTAACGGCACTCCCTTTTGCCCAAGGGAGGCCTCAGCCTGTGTCCAGCATCTGGAGTCCAGGCACATCAAGAGGTGTGGGTCGACTCTGGAACTTTCAGGAGAGCATCTTGCAGGTGGGAAGTGGCTGTCTCCACCCACATGGGAATCACCCCACAGAGGTGCTATTGCTGGTGGCAAGGTATAGAGTGCCACCAGTACTTGGAGGATTCTGAAGCAGACAAGGCTTGGTCCACCCATTTACTCATTCAGCAGAGATTGCCACAAAGCACTAGGTACTGAGGCTGGTGGGGAGGGCAGAAACATGCTGCATCCAGGCTGGAGGGCATCAGGCTGTTTCCAGAGTGGCCATCTGGAGTCCCCTGGTGACATAGGCCCCTTCCAGGTTAGAAATGTGTTAACAATGATAGAGTTGGTACCCAGGAATGTATGGTTATGTAATTTGTACTGTGATTAGCCTTTTTTTTTTTTAGAGAGGGTCTTGCTAAGTTTCTGAGGCTGATCTCCAACTGATGATCCTCCAGCCTCAGTTTCCTGAGTCTCTTGAGATTATAGGCGTGTACCCCCAAGCCTGACCATTTATCATATTTTTTTAAAGGAACATATGCCTTTATTTCACTTTTTCATCTGACAGTTTTCTTCGTACAAGTTTAAGATCTGTGTTTTGTAATCCATAGTCAAGCTGATTGGGAAATGCTACTTTGCTCTTTGCTGGCCCCTGCTGGGAGGAAGCTGCCCTCCACCACAGGCACACCCTCAGGCCCACCTGATGCTACTGTATGAGCAAGCGTCCTGTGTGTTACCCATCCTGCCCAGCCCCACCACAGGGGGCGTACAGTGGGTGCTGGCTAGCTGCCTGTTGCAGCAGGAGCACTGGGCATTGGTGATGCAGTTGCGTGGTGTTTCAGCGTGTTTCTGGGAAAGGGGAGCTCAGCCTGCATGGTGGACTCAGGCTGAGCCCCAGCCCCGTTCTATAGGTAGGGACTAACTCAGGGCATTCTTCATGGTTCAGGCTAGAATTGAGAGTTCTTTCTTTGTACCATTCCAAACTTGAAGCTCTCTCACTTTCCCTAGGATCTTCACCTTGTACAGTAAGTCTCTGCCCCTGGACTTGGCCTGCCGCATCTGGGACGTGTTCTGTCGGGATGGGGAGGAGTTCCTCTTCCGAACGGCCCTGGGCATCCTGAAGCTGTTTGAGGACATCCTGACTAGGATGGACTTCATCCACAGTGCCCAGTTCCTGACCAGGCTGCCCGAGGACCTACCAGCAGATGAGGTGTTCGCGGCCATTGCTACAGTCCAGATGCAAAGTCGGAACAAGAAGTGGGCACAGGTAAGCAGTCTCCTCCTTCTTCTGGTTGTGGGGCTGGCACTACAGTATAACCTAGGGAGCATGCTGCCCACAGTGCTGAGAAACAGTTCTTGGGCTGCTGGCGAGGAGAGCTGGGCGGCCTCCTGGCTCTGCCTCAGGTTGCTCTATGGGTTCCTGCCTGTTGGAGATCGTGGAGTGCCCCCTCCCCTGCATCAGTACTGGGAGCTCAGAGCTTCTATGAGGCCATGCAGTACTCTTCACATGCCCCAAAGCATTTTATAAATTAAGCCCTAGACACTAGACAGAGCAAAAGGGACTGGCTAGCTGGGCCGCCTGGGAGCGGCGTGCCCTGTGCAGCTTGATCCACCTTGCAGATCACAGAAAGAGAAGTCACAGTTGCCTGAAGAGGCCCCGTCCCTTCCAGGTCTTCCTTCCATTGTGCTGCTCTGGCCTGTGGTTTCTTCTGCATTCCTCCAGGCTCCCATGTAGGGCTTACGCCAGTGGGATTGATGGGTGTTGTCTCACTCCACGTTTTAGCATACTTAAAAGGAAAAAAGGAAGGAAAAAAAAAAAAAAAACCTGACTGTATTTCTCGAGGTTACCTGAGTACCAGGCCCAGCTGGTGGGTCTGGAGGCTTAACCTTCCCCATACGGGCCAGCTGTGCCTGTTATGGACCTGACTTTCTTATTAGTATATGACTTAAAATATTTACAAAACTAGGACAGTGAACCCCACATGACAGTCATCAGCCTCGTATCTGTGAAGGGGGACTGTTTCAGTGCCCCTCCCCGTGCCCCCCAGTGTTCTGCATGCAATATATCCACTGTCATGTTGTGTCTCCAAACCATGCTGGCTCTTGGAACATAAATGTTCACAGCACTGCTATCACCCAGAAAGTCCCTGATGCCTTCCTGTCTTCATACACTAGGTATTGTGCTGAGAATCAAGGTTCTGACTGGGCCAGACAGCATAAATGGATCCACGGTCTCACTGATGAAGATCCAGATAGGGTCCTTGCCCTGACTGGCCCGTAGATCTTTGTCTTATACCATCTTTATGCAGCTCCACCTTCTTCTCTTCTGTCCCTTCCCACCCTTCATTTGTGTGGAAGGCAAGCCCTTTGACCTACAGCAAGTCCAGAGCCTGTACCTGGTCACTCTAGGACAGTTATGGTTGAGGGGTACAGAGGTTTCTTCTTGAGGTACAAAAGTGTTATAAAATTAACTGGTGATATGTGCCCATTTCTGTGAATATCCCCCAAAGCATCAAATTGCACACTTTGAAGGGTGAATTGCATTTCAGTAAAGCCGTGTAACGGCCTGCCTAGCTGGTGGGGAGGCCTGGGCCTGGCTGGGCTGCGCCAGGTGTCAGGGCAGGAGCGACTTCTCTCTGGCTGATGAACCGATGGACGGTGTAAGGGCTGTGGCTAGAACATTTCCAAGAATTTTAAGCCATGACTGTAGAGCAGTAGGCCATGCCGGGCTGCCTGAACTCTGGGCATGCGACTGCACAGGCTGAATGCCCCTGAAGCTGACCCTGTGTGTGAGGAGGTCTTTTGGAACCTTCTGTGATTTGTTGCTTCCATAGTTTTCTAAAGCCTCAACAGAAAAGTCGGGGCCTTTGTGTTTTGGTGCCCGGGATTGAACCTGGGGGCACTTGACCACTGGACAGAGGCTTGCTAAGTTGCTTAGGGTCCCATTGAGTTGCTGAGGCTGGCTTTGAACTTGCAATTCTCCTGGCTCAGCCTCCTGAGTCACTTGGATTGTGGGGTGTGTGCCACTGCACCCAGCCAAGACCTTTCTTAATGGCCTTTGTTCACAGGCAGGGCTGTCCCTACCCTGATTTCACATCTTGTGCATTCAGGGCTTACAGGTCTTTCCTGCAGCTTCCTTCCCTGGTACTTCCTGTGAAAGAAGCTCTCCTGCCCTGCATAGGCACATGCACATGCACACGCGCCCACTGCTTGAATAATCCCCAGCATAGTTTCAACCCATAAAAGAGAGGAGGCAAAATGGCAGAATCTGGGTGGAACCCTTCCATGTGTGCTCTGTCACTGACATTATTGGGTAGTCACAGTGCCCTGGAATGAGTTTTAAAGTAAAGGTGCAGTGCATTGAGGGCAGTGGAGGGAGCAGCACCAGGGCCAGGCTCTGGCGGCCTCTGAAGGGAGGCTGTGAATGGGCTTTGGTTTCTTGGTGATGAAGGAAGAAGCCGGCAGGAGCAGCATTGTCCTGTGGGGCTGAGGGAAGAGACTATCCCCATGACCCTGCTGTGACATTGGTGTTGTGGCTGGTCAGCATGAGTGTAGGAAATGGCCCACGTAGGAAAGAGGACCCAGAGGGTGGGAAAGTGCCTAGTGGGCCAGAGGGTGGGAAAGTGCGGAGTGGGCGGAGTTGGAGGGGCTGCCCTGGGGGTGGCTGCCATCATGGCTGCGCTGCCTTGCTCTGCTGTGCTCTGCTCCGTGCTGCTCCTGCTCAGCTCCTGCTCAGCTCCTGCTCAGCTCCTGCTCAGCTCCTCCGTGCCGGTGCTGCGCTGAGCTGCGCTGCGCTGCTCCACTCTGCGCTGCTCTCGTGGGTGTCTTGGGAACAGTGCCTCTCGGGGATTAACCACAGCAGTCTTCTCTGTGCTCTAGGTGCTGGCTGCGCTGCAAAAAGACAGCCGGGAAATGGAGAAAGGAAGCCCGTCCCTCAGACACTGAGGCTGCAGATGTGACCCCCACTGGCACTGAGGCAGGTCTCAGGCGGCACCTGTGTGCTCTCAGACCCACCCCGGCAGTGGCAGCAGAGGAGCAGGCATGCTCTGTTCATGTTGATTCCTGACGCTGGAGTTGGCCTTAAACAAACAGCAAAATCCAGGCTTAGCCTTAAGCAGCTCAGGGGCTGGTGCCCTGGGGGCTGCAGCCAGCCACTGCGCTTTCTGCACAGGTTAAAGACAGGGCAGTGGTTGATCCCTCCTCCTCCTTTGTTTCAGCAAAAGTCAATTAAATTGTAATGCTATTATGCCAGCCACTGGAAAGTACATTACAATTTTTTTAGCCAAATGCATGAGAAATATTATTTTGGGAGATCTCAGAGATGATACTGGCTCATATTTTAGATGAGAGGAATTGCTGATTTAGTTATTGAGATGATCTTTCCAGAACTGGAGGCCATGAGTTTGAAACCTGCCTACCAAGACAGCATAACAGGAGATGGGCACATGGGGAGTGTTGCTCTTGGGCTCCCTGGGAGTCCACATGACCTTTGTATTAACACTTGACCATGTTGCCTTGACAAAATCGCAGCAGGAAGGCCGACAGTGCACGTTAGGTTTCCGTGGGAACCTGCCTCCCAGAGTCCTTGGAGCTGTGGTGAGGAGCCGGAGCAGGGGACTGTGTGTGCAGAAGGGGCCTGTGGCAGCAGAACACCCCCGGGAGCTGATGTGAACAGCCTCCTTTAAAGAACAGGGTGGGAGAAACTTTGGATTGCCCCTCGCACCTGCTTGTTTCCAGGGAGGCCGAGGATGGCTGTGTGGTCTGGAAACCGAAGCATGTGAGGGGTTTGCTCCTGGGCTCTGCAGAATCCCCACTTCACTTTTGTCATGAATAGCTGGACTGTCCTAAGTGCCAGGGACCCCCTGACACACCTGGCTTTCCAAGGTGTTTCACAAACCACCATGAGGACAGAGGAGCGAGCAACACGTACTTAACAACCAGTCTTGTCAGAATTCTCATTGTCTGGACCATGATCCCTTTCCCATTTTAGCTGATTTTCCCAAGTTTATTGTCAAAATTTTTATTCTTGCTTTTCCTTGACTATTTTGAGAACTTTGTATAAGAAATTTGACTTCCCAAATTCACAGAAATGAGCAGTTTTTGCATGGACTAGTCCAACGAGAGATGGAAACAAGTTCCCACCTGGTAACCCATTATTAGCATATTGGCCTTTGGGGGTGCAGACAGGCCAGGCTCAAGGACACAGCCAGAGTCTGGAAGTGCTGGTGTGGTCTGCACTCACCTTTCTTAGCCATTTCTCCCACCCCAGGGGACAGCTCCTCGTTGAGGGAGGCCCTGGTGCTGTACCACATGCAGCAAGGAGGCTTGGGCTGGGGGTGCAACCAGCTTGGGGGTGGCCTATCCTGATGAACTTTCTGCATCTGCCCTGCCTGCTGGCCATATTTCAGGTGCCGCAGCAGGTTAGCAGGCCAGGGTCATGTGCACACCCTCTGTCCTACTCCATGTGTCCCTCTTCTTGGAACCTCCCCTCCCCTTGCATTCTCCTGTGAATTCTCGAGGGAGGTTCTAGAGCATGATGGGTCCCACAACACCTCAGCCTTGGCAGGCCGCCTTGCCTGACCTCGTGGACGAGGTGCCATCTTCGCCTGTGGTCCTGGTGGCCTCCAGACCCAGCCATTCCTGACATGGAGGCATTGAATGTAGTTAGGCCAGTGGCCTGCGCACTGTCTTCCTTGCAGATGTGCGCAGTTGCGTGCGTGATGAGGGTGTTCTGTTCTTTGAAGATGTATATATTTTCTTACTGTACATAACGTAGAGAGGTGAGGAGCAGGCTCTGGCCCCACCCTCGCCTTTGCTTGTCAAACGGCCCGACATCAATCTGCAGTGTACATGAAGGTTCAGACCAGGCTCCCTGCCAGTCTGGGGCGTTTGCCACATCTTCAGTCCAGACAAGGTTTTGGGGGGCCTGTTAAGGGATCATATGAGTTCCAGGTGTCCCCTAAGAGGTTGCAGAGTTCCAAGTCCTGTCCAGGGTCCTGTGGTCCTCTGGGCAGAGTGCTGTTAGCAAGCACAGCATCCTGCTTCTCTGAGGCTGCTGCTTAGGTGACCTGGAAACACTGATGTGCTGCTCTCTTGGAAGTTTGCACTGTCCACCTCAAGGGCCAGGGACTTTCTGTACCCCAGGGCTTGGGGTCAGCAGCAGCTTGCCCTTTAGACCCAAGAGCCACCTCCAGAGTCATTGAGATCTCATTTGGGAACAATGTTCACTTCAGAGGTACTTTGTAACTGCTCGGCTTCTGAGTTTTAAAGAGCTGCTGATAGGAACTCCTGATAACATTGCTGCAGATTATGTTTTAATGGCTCGAACAGTTAACCTCTGACTTTATTTAGTAAAGTGTATCAAACTAGGACTTTTTGAATTGTAAATATGTGGTTTTATTAAATAAAAGTCATGTAAAATTGTTACTTACATTCTCTGTAGTTTGGTTTAAAATTGAGGTTCTTCCTTGAAGCATGGCAGAAATTTGAGCATCTGCTGCTTTGAAATCCACATCTAGGCTTGTTCATCAAAAAGAGGATGCAGCCGAGGGTCCCTCTCTGCTGTGCTGGAGGGGCCCCCCTGTGCTGCCGCCGCTCTTCAAGCCACCCTGCTGTGACCTTCACCACCCCTGCGCATGTCACCACTCACCCCAGTGTGCAGCAGGCGCTCACTGTGTGCCAGCCCCTGGGCTAAGGGCTCCTTGCAATTCCTCAGAAGCCTGTGAGTCAGGTGCTGTGACCCAGTAGGGTGGTGGCAGGGCCTTCTCTGTGGGGCAGGGTCAGTAAAGCTGTTCTCGAGATGGTGGAGAGGGCTGGAGGGCCAGGAGGTACTTAGACCCCAGCGGAATGAGTGCACCCACAGGCACTCAGAAGGGTGCTCAGACACAGAGCCACCTTCCATTGAGCCAGTGACTTCTCTCTGCGCCCCTGTCCCTGCAGGCTGTGAGGCAGGCTGGCTAGCTGCAGGGTAGTGGAGAGCAGGCACTTTTGCTGAGAGCTGTCTGGCTGCTCTGGCCACACCGGGCACTGGGCTAAGCACTGTGGAAATTAAATTAAATTTCATTTAATTTCCACAGCAGCTTTGTGGAAGATCATTGTCCCCTTCCACACATGTGACACAGAAACGTGGTTTTCTCAGGCTGCTACTAGGTGGTGGCAGAGCAGGACTCAGGCACCCTCTGGAGAGATCTCGTTTGCTCTGGGACCTTCGGGAGCCTGGCTCCTTAAGTCCTGGTGGGGACACTTGCATCATCTGTGCACGGCCTGCAGGGCAGCTGGAGGCTGATTGAGGGAGCTGTGGATTATGAATGCTAAAACACGATGGGCAGACACTTGTTCCTGGGCACTGTACACCTGGGGAGTGGGGCTGACAGTTCAGACACCATTCCAAAAGTGTGGAGCCTGCCACCAAGGCACAGAGGGGCCAACACACAGGCATGGCACCCACACAGTGTGGGGGCAGGTACACCCCCGCTGTATTTTGGGAGGAGCTGCTGGTCTCCCAGTGGGAAGGGGTGGGGGCTGGCCAGCAGAGGGATACCTCAGAGACAAGACCAGTCCCCTCAGACAGGACTATGTTAAGATGTGGAGGGACTTCGGTTTTCAGGGAAATCGTGAGACCCGCATTGTATGGTGCCAAATATGTGCTCAGACATTTGCTGATGATATTCAGGCTCTTGCCTGGAACTTGGCTGAGAAGTGTCCAGATATCTCTGAGAGGCTCAGGGCGCCATCTAGTGCCTGTCCTGCTCCAAGGCTCCTCTGAGCACCGCTCCCTGCAGCCAGCCTGCTCTGGGATGCTGATTCCCTTCCTGGGCAGGTTCACACCAAGGCCAGGTCTCCCTGGATCAGCTGAAGCCCCTTTCCCAGGTGCCCACACCTTGTGGGACATTCTGTGCAGAGTGAGGATAACTGTCCTCTGCTCCGACATTACAACAAAATGAGCTACCCGTGGACTTGGAAGCCTGGCTCTGGACCCCAGAGCCTCAGTTCATCTTAAGCGGTGTTCCTTCATCTTTTTCCCCTGCTGTGTGGCTCCTGGTAGAAAGGCTTCAGCCAAAAATAAAGCTGAACTTGAGGTGCAGTTTGGGTAGATGTTAAGAACAGACCTTGGGGTTGAATCTTATACCCACCCATTGCCATTAGGAGCTCTGTGACCTAGTCCTCATTTTCTTTTTCCACAACTGAAGGTTTGGAAGAGGACCCGGCTCCTATCCACTGGCTTGTGAAGATGAAACAAAAACAAGAAGCTGAACTAACTCTACCATAAAAACCCCAGAAACATCGGGTGGGTTGCTAGAATCATTCCCTTAACAGTATTTAAATTCTTGAACTTATGAATTTAAAAAAAACTGAAATTATCTCCCAATTTAAATCCATGTTAATTGTATAGAATTTGGGAATACAGGAAAGAAAATTAAAATTCCTCTTAATTTTATCATCGGATAAGGGATACTGTTTTCCTATTCTGCTTTTTTCTATAAATGCATTTCCCCATTTTACAGATGAGTTCATTGTCCCAGGCTGGCCTGATGCCAGAGTCTTCACCCCAGGCTGGATCTTTCTAGATAGGCCTGTGCTCACCCATGGCAGCCTTTGGGGGAGTGTGATCTTACTTCTTAAAACCAATATGTAAGTAGAAACTAGAGGACCTTTGAGAAGTAGTAGAGAAAGTGCTGCACAGTTCCCAAGAGCCCTGTGGTCCCTTCCATTCTTGCATTTGTGGGACTCATCACAGTGGTGCTAGCTGGAAGCTTAAAAGTGAAAAACACTAAGTCAAGGTACCAGAGCTGCCGTTGTCTTATGGGTAGGCTCCCACACCAGGGCCAAGACAGAACCAGGGCTACAGACAATCTCTTACGGTTACATAATGTAAAAATCTCAAGTGCAGGAAGTCACCATAAATGACTTCCACTTAGCAAAGGTAAATGTTTCCTTCTCAGGGGCCCTGGCCTCTGCTTAGGTGGGCACCTGATTTACAAAACTGTCCTATAAAATTGAAGGGGACACTTGGGATTTATACCTATTAAAAAGGTTTAGTTTCAACAAAAAAAGGAAAAAAAGAAAGAAAAAAGGTTTAGTTTCATGTAGCATCTTGCTCACAATGTATTTTTCAGGCCTTTGCTCGTGGTGCTGTGGATCGAACCCCAGGCTTCACACATGCTTGGCAAATAATCTGCCGCTGAGCCCCAGCCCCAGCCCCAGCCTTTGCTTTTAATACTCATAAAGATAACCTCTGTGTGACAGTCCTGTCCTGTGGATCATCTGCATTGGGACTGTCCACAGTCTACCTGCAGTGTTTCTTGCTTTGACTACAAAACTGCCCCTGCCATATTCCCTCCTTGGTTTTACTTTTGAGAGGATGGTCTTTCTTCCTGTAATTTATTTTTGAATCCAACACAGGGCTTAGCAGTTTCTGAGACATAACATTCAAATAAGGTTTATTTTCAGAATGTGAAGGAGATGGGTTAATACATTAGCATAATGCCAAACCAACTGCTGGCCTCCAGGGACCTAGATCTCAGTGGGGGGTAGAAGCCTAAGGAGGCCCTCTCTGAGCAGGGACTGCATGCTGGGTGGGCCACAGACAGCGCTGCGATACCATGCTGGGGGTCATCTGTGGACTTCTTCCTTCAGAAGTTACCCTAGGAAACAGTCTGTGGAGTGTTGCTCTTTGCTGGTGAAGCATGGCCCTGTAATCTGATTGGAACCACAGGAGGTGGGCCACAGGAGGGGGTGTATCTGTCCAGCAACCTGAGGACATTGGTGACTTACTTTGCAGTCCTTACTTGGTCATTTGCAGCTTAAAGCTTTCTGCAGCTGGGCTGGGATCCACTTGTCACAGGGTTCCAAGCTGCAGGATTCGGCTGGGCAATGCTGTTGGTTCAAAGTCAGCTGAGAATACCTGCTCTCTCTACAGTACACCAGAGAGACAAAGGACAGCATTATCATGAAAGCCACTGCTTGGTCAAGACATGCAGCACTGTTGACCCTTCACCAGGAGGCTTCCCCAGCAGCAGAAGAACCCAGTGGGCCTGCACTGCTTCTAGCTGGAGCCACGAAGAAGAGAGTTCTGTTCGCAGGGACTTACTGCTCCACTTGGCCTTGATGGACAAGGGGAGAAGGAAGACTCATCACAGTAAAGGGAGGACGGCAGTGGAAATCTAAGCTTTTTACTGCCTGCCTCAGTACATGTGTGTGACATCAGAGAAAATAGTGTACTCAAGCCATGGAAGTTAGGAGTTTTAATTTTCCTCTACCTCACAGGGAATATACTTTAGAAAACGAAATCATGTCATCAAAAGATAAAGCAGTGGCAACATTCTCAGCCACTGAGCCACCTGTCCTGAGTGGGGTTTCTACCAGTCTTCAGAGGCACCCAGCACCAAAGACGGATGGTCTTCCTATGACCTGTGAAGTTTAGGAATGAGCGAGCACCCTGTTGCCATCAGAGAGTACTCGGCTGGGTGCAGAAGGCTGTCATATGTGATGGCAGCAGCCACCATTCACAGTCTTGCACCTGGTAAAACCAATGGCACTGTTTTGTTTCCCCTGGGTAAAAACATGCCACTTTTATTTTTTTAAACAGATCAATGCAGTTTTTTCAGAGGATCCAAGGAAATGTTTGATTCTAATGGAAAACCGTCATCAAGACAGAAACATAAATGGTGAGAAGACTGAGCTTTCTTCCACTGAAAAAGTATAAAGACAACCAAGCATTGGCTTCCTTTCCTGTTTCCTGGAGAGAGAGGGATGGATGGATGGACACATAGATAGATGGATGGATATTTACATGCCAGAAGCTAGTACTGGCTACTGACAAAGCAAGATCAAGGGGATTTTGTGAGTTTCTAATTGAGACAGTAATTCATGACTACACAGCTTAATAAATCCAAAGAGAATTTAATAATTTGCTTAAGCACAGATTTTTCGGTACTCTGCCCACTTGTTGAACTTCACCTACTTACACATAGAAGAGGAACAGTGTTCTTTAGTACTAAGTTACTGAAATTATGGAATTGTTCAACTCTTAATTTTTAGTTTTTCCTGAGAAGTCACGTTACATTAAATCACTCCATTTTTGTTTCTCTGGGTCTATTGCTTCATCCCATGTAAAATTGCTAACCCAATTTTGTGGTCAGCACTAGTTTTGAAGCTGAAAAATGAGAAAAACATCATGGTTCCTAAACCAGAGATCATAGGCCTCTTAAGGATAGCAACAAGGGAAAGTAAAAGTGGATAAGACAATGTTTTGCTGCCTCTATTCGTCCACCATATCAGGGGGGGAGGAAGGCTTTGGCTTCCCTGATCTTCTGCCTCATACCTTTGCAGGATAAAGTAAGCCCAGCGTGATGGCGCTTAAGGGATTCTAGGCGCTGGTTGAGTAGTTCAGTCTTGTCCATCTTTTCTTCCAAGTCTCGAAGCAGTGATTCCTTGCCCAGAAGGCCGCACTTCTGGTTCAGCTTGATGTTGTCACCCCTCAGGCTGTCTCGGGCTTGCTTGGTCTTGGTCAGGATGTCCCTTCCTAGAGCCACCTGAGCCTCAATTTCCAAAAGCTGTGCCTTTCTGCATGCATTCTCCATATCCATGAAGTGCAGCTTTTCCTTCACATGGGTTATTATCTGCACATTGTTGGTCACCTTGTTGCGCAGTTTTAAAAGTTCCTCATTTCGTTCCTCCACTTTCTCGTTGAAGGTCTGGTTCTCAATCTTAAGCTGTTCAAAATCAATGAGGAGCAGACCTTCAGTCAAGTCCTCCTGGGCCTTCATTCTGGTTTCAAAATGCGACAGGCTTTGCTTCAGCTGCACATTCTCCAGCCGCACAGCACTCATCTCCTTCTCCTTTTTATCCTCCAAGGCCTGGATCTGCTCCACCTCCCGAAGTGCAGCCTGGCGCCCACCCCGCATGCGGCAGCTGCCCATGGCCTGCATCACCACCTGCTTCTTGAGTGCCTGGAATCGGTGCCACTCTTTCTCTACCCTGGCCACCTTCTCCTGGCACTGCTGCTTCAGCTGGGCCAGCTCCTGGTGATACCATTCCAGGTCATTGGCCTCTTGCTTCTTCATGTCCTCCAGCATGGCCAGGTAGTGCAAATATGCCTGTTCTTTCTCGGGGGCCTCGGGCTCTGGGCCCTTATCTGGCGCCTCCACTGCTTCCACGCCCTTCTTCTTGCGCAGCACCTCACAGATCTTGTGCTGAAGGTACACATTGTAGCGCTGATAGCGGTTCCGCTCTACCACCAGGGTGTTGTACTGCTCCAAGAGCTCATTGCGAAGCTGCTGCTCCTCCAGTTTCTGCACCTCCTCCGACCACTCTTGGTCGTGGTAGTCTACTGAGCCCAGTAGGGAAGATTTCTGCCTTTCCTTGCTTTTCTCCTTTCTTTCAGCACTCTCTACCTTACTCTCCTCCTCCTCTTCTTCCTTCTCTTCCTCTTCCTCCTCTTGCTTAGGTTCCTCTCTTTCAGTCGCTGGGGCTGGAGCAGCATCCTCGCGGGTAGTGGATAACTGCACAGAGTCCCTAGACAGGGCTTTCTTCTTAGTCGTCGTCGTCGTCGTCTTTGCCGCCGCTCTCTCCTCCTCCTCGTCCTCCTCTTTCTCCCCCTTCTCTTTCTCCTCCTTCTCTACTTTTTCCTCCTTCTCTGTAGCCTCCTCCGGTTCTTCGGGCCTGGTTTCGGATTGCGGCTGGGCCGTCGCTTCTTCGGGCTCAGGTTCGGGTTCGGGCTCGGGCTCGGGCTCAGGTTCAGGCTCTGGCTGCTTCCCCGTCTCTCCTAGCCCGTCCTCATCCGCGGCCTCGGTGGCCGCCGGCCCTTCTGGCGCCTCGGTCGGCTCGTCCTCGGTGGCGCCTCCCTCCTCGATCTCTACCAACCCAGCCGCCTCCGCTGCCTCTGCCTCAGGCTCAGGCTCCGAGGTTTCGGCGGGGCTCTGGAGGTCAGAGGTGGCCTTGGTCCCAGAGACGAGGCTTTCCCCATCTCCGCTTTGGTCCAGAGAGTCCCCAGCGAGCTCGGAATCCCCTTGCATCTCCGACCACAGCTTCCAGGCCTCGGTCCCGGGCTGAAGCTGTTAGGTTTCCCGGGGCAACCGGGCGCACGCGCTGAGCCCCACGATTGGCCAAACACTATTTGGCATCCTGCCCCTCCACCCCACCTCCGGCCAGAGTCGGCCAATAGGAGGCCGCGAGAGGGGCTGATTGGACTTGGGCGCCGGGCGGTGCCTCGGAGGGCGTGGCGCGCCCTGGCCGCTTCCGGTCTGCGCACCGCCCACTGCCCGACCGAGGGCGGGGCGTCGTGGGGGTGGTGGCGGGCGCGAGGGCGCGCAGGCGCAGCGCGGCGGGCTGGCGGCCGGGCGGGGGCGCGCGGGCGCCTGCGCGATGCGGCGGGGCGACGGTGGCGGCGGCCGGCCCGGGCCCGAGGGCGCCTGCGTGCTGCGGCGGGACGCTGCCCGGCTGGCCGGCTCGGGCGGCGCCTGGGCGGGGGCGGCCGTGGCGGCGGCAGGAGGCGCGGGCGCGGCGGGCGTCTGCGCGCTGACGGCGGGGGGCGCGGCGGGCCGGGCGGGCGAGCGGGGAAAGATGGCGGAGCTGGGTAAGAAGTACTGCGTGTACTGCCTGGCCGAGGTGAGCCCGCTGCGCTTCCGCTGCACCGAGTGCCAGGACATCGAGCTGTGCCCCGAGTGCTTCTCGGCCGGCGCCGAGATCGGCCACCACCGCCGCTACCACGGCTACCAGCTGGTGGACGGCGGGCGCTTCACGCTCTGGGGGCCCGAGGCCGAGGGCGGCTGGACCAGCCGCGAGGAACAGCTGCTGCTGGACGCCATCGAGCAGTTCGGCTTCGGCAACTGGGTGAGCGGAGGCCGGCGGGCGGGCGGGACCTGGGCGCCCGGCAGGTGTGCGCGGGGCCGGCCTCCGGGGCCGGGCGGCCGGGGCGCCCTGGGAGCCGCGCGGGCCTGCTGTCTCCGGTGCCTGTCCCGTCCTGTGTGCGTGCTGGGGGTGTCCGCGGGCGCCCTGAGGGTCGGCCATGCCCAGGCGCTGCGGCCCCGCGACACCCAGGACACTGTGCGATGAATGGCCAGTAATGATGAACAAAGGCGCCTGCACTGGCAGGCACGGGCCCCAAGGTCTGCCCTGCTCTGTCAGAAGGTTTCCGTAAAGACGCGTCTGAGAGAGAAGGTGAGAGCTGGGCTGGACTCCGTACACTGTCCGTCGTGCCCCAGGCTCTCTTGGGGAGAGCGGAGCGTTTCCTTAGGTTTCAGAGAAGAAGAATAAAAGTCTCTGGCTGCATTGTCACCAAAACCACCAAGGATGTGCAGCCACCTTCGGGCTTTCTGAGAAGTAGGGAAGCGACACTGGACCCCTAATGGCTCTTCCCCCACAGTGCTGCTCTCCTGCCTCCCACCTGCTGCTTTCATCTCCTCTTGCTTTCCTCAAGACCATTCTGCAGCCCTGGAATCTGTTCTTATAATTCATTAGGAAAGAAGTTGCTCCACAAATTACTACCTGATCACCACCCTCCAGACACCTCTGCCTCACTTTGTCCTCACGTGCTGTTTGTGGTTGCACATTGAGCATCTGCTTTGTGCAGAGCGGACACTGGTGAAGGATCCTGAAGGGGAGAAGCCCTCAACCTTGCCTTCAGGGAGCTTATGGTAGTGTGTTCATTTGCTCTAGGCTTCTGCCTTCTGGTTCCCTGCTGACCTACACAGTGACCTGGACTCAGCGCCATGCTCATCACTCAGGTTGCAGCTGACACCTGTCGCGAATGCCTTCTTCCACGCCTAGTTCATCAGCAGCCCCCTTTTCAAAATATGTGCAGAACCTAACCCCACTTGGGACCCTAGTGCAGGCTGACCTTCACCCCTCTGCTTGTCTCCCTGCTTAGTTCTCACCTCATCTCACACACACAATCAGTGATATCTTAAGCACAAGTCACGTCTCACGGGCCCTGGTGGCTTCCAGGTCTACTGGGGTTTACCTCACTGTCCACTAGGCCATCCAGTGTCTCTGGACCGCTGGAGCCCCACTGGTTACCCTGATTCTTTTTCCTTTTTTCTGCACGGAGTGTGCTACCTCCAGCGATGGCTCAGAGACTGAGCTCTGCTTAAATGAGTGCCTCAGAGAGACCCATCCTGGCCGTCATTCTTCCAGCACTTATTGCCACAGTATACCTGGGGACACTGAGCGCTGCAGAGTGCCCTGCTCCGAGTGGAGCACTTTGTATGCAGCTCTTGAAATCTTCTCAACAGCCACAGGTTTGGGATGCTCAGGACAGCTGGGGCCTTCTAACAGTCCTTTTCAAACTAATGCACTGGGAAGCTTGTTAGAATGCAGATTTTGGCTGGAGTAGACTGCATTCTTCTTAGCCCAGGAGGAAGGGCCTTGGGACTTGCTGCTCTTAGTGTAGGCTTGGCCTTGCCACTTGCTGGGCTCCGGCAGGCCTGAAGTGCTGCTGCCTTGCTAACAGGCCACAGGTGCTGCCCAGGACAGCACTAGTTCCAACACTGAGTAGGAAGCGCCATTATTTCTCCAGCTGTGTCGTCTTGGGCTGGTTGTTTCCCTCCGTAGGCTTCATTTTTCTTCACCTGAGGCTCTTTCACAGTTTGCACGTGTGGTTCTCTTTCAAGTGTTTATGCTGATCCGTGCCCAAAAGTCCTATGCTCCACTCGGGACAGCAGGCCATGCCAGTTCTGTACGGGCTCTTCCTGTATGTAGCTCATGTGATCTGAACAGTTCTTATTCCTAATTTACAGTTGAAGAACAGCAACTGTGAGACTGAGCTGCTTGTCCAGGAGTCCACAGCTTTGCATGCAACAGGGCCAGGTTTGAGCTCAGGCCTGCTGACTGCAGCCAGGGCCTTCCCATGGTTTAAGAGCATTAAGTAATGTGGGTCGGAGGCCCAAAGCTATGGATAGGGCTGGAGGTGTGGACAGGCTGGAAGGGCTGTCCTGCAGCCAGACTGGGGCCTGCTTCAGGGAGAGATTTGAGCCAGGGAGGTGACTGGGTGAGGGCAGGAGCAGGTCCAGGGGCTGGGGCTGGATGTGGAAAGAGGCATTGTGGGCATCAGGGAGAGCGAAGAAAAGATGAGGGCCGTGTAGCTCTGGTTTCAGATGGCAAGTGGGGAGACAGCCCCGGGCTGTGTGTTCAGTGTGGAGCTCTAGGTGGGGTGAGCCAAGAAGGCAGGGTTGGGGTGTTGCTGAAGTCTGGCAGCTGAGGCGGGGGAAGGGGGGGCGGCTGAGGGGAACGAGGTGTATCTGAGGAATGTCAGCCATTGATCCAGGAGGGTTTGGGGATAGTCATGGTCATGGTCTGGCACGGGTGTACCCATGTGTTGGACAGTGGGGGGGGGGGGGCGTAATGTGGGATGAGACCTTGGCAACAGTGGGGAAGAACTGGCCAACAGACAGTGACCCCGTGGGTCAGTCCACTGGGCACTGAGGGTCTCCAGGTAGCTGGTGGGTTCCACAGGTTCAGAGTTGGAGCACAGGGACACCTCTGGAACACAGTCACAGAATTTCAGGACAATTGGAGACTTCACTGGAAGAGCCACGGCTTTGTTGGTTATCCCAAGTCCCTGAGCGTTGCTGAGGAGGCTAATGGAGGAGGTCCCACCTCTGTGGACTACAGTCAGGGGCCTTGGGAAATGGGGCTCAGGCTGGCTCTTCAGGGTTTGGATCAATGAGATGAGCAACTGGTAAGGGCCTGGTGGCCTGCATGGTACACTCAGGTTTGTCCTTGGAGGCAGGCGGATGTCCTGAGTCCGTCACGTTTGCCTTTCCTGCTGGGCACTGCCCTATAGTGGGTCACGGCGTCGTACACTCACTCATCTGCCAACTGGCGCTTGCTCAGTGCTACTGTGTCAGCCCCTCCAGAGACACTGCTAAGAGTGACAGCCTGCGAGCTTTCAGGGGCTGTGTGGTGAGCCACAGTTCTTGTCCTGAGCTGGCCCGATGGAAAGGTAGTGAGTGGAAGGAGCTGTTCTGCGTTCTAGGAGTCCGATGTATTTGGGGAAAAGGGAGGACTGGAGATGGAGACTCTGTCCCCATGGGGCGGGCGAGGAAGGCAGGTGAGCTTGTGTGCAGTTAGGGTTTGGGCTGGGATTTTGGAGCTGCTTCCTGCTCCTGAGGTACAGGCGTGAGTCCATGTGCTGACACGAGCTCCCCTTGCCCCCACCCTGAGGCCAGATTCTCCCTTTTACAAATGAGGTAACTATTGTGGGTGCTGAAGGATGGGGCAGAGCTGGAGTTTGGGTCCAGGTCTTCTCCTTGCTCTGTGATTTCCCTGACAGCACAGCCAGAGGCCACCAAGCCCAGGGCCCAGCCTGGACGCTGACCTGGCCTCTCCAAGGCTCAGATGGAATCTTCAGTATTTATAAAAAGGATCTCACGAGCTCTGAGGCAGCTGGGCCCTTCCACTTCTCTCTGGGCTGAAGGCTGCTTTGGGAGCATGTGATCTCCAGCCCATAAGTGTCCTGATAGTGGGTTTGTAGGACTTGCTTTAAGGAAAGGCTGGAGGGAAGATCTTGGGTGGGGAAAGGGGCTAAATTTAATAGGGCCAAGCACACTTCAATGTGCATCGGATCATCCAGGAGGCCTAGCTGAACACATCTCGTGCCACACATGTGAGTCAGCGATATTTCCTGCAACTTCCCAGGCTGGTCAGCAACCCTTTCTTAAGAGCCACTGAGCCAGGCATGGTAGAACATGCATGTAATCCCAGTGATCTGAGGAGACCGAGGCAGGAGGCTCTCAAGTTTGAGGCCAGCTCAGCAACTTAGTGAGATCCTGTCTCAAAACAAAAATTAAAAAGGGCTGGGGATGTAGTGCAGTGGTGGAATGCCCTGGCCTCCAGTACAGGAAAAGGGAAAAAAGCAAAAACCACCAAGGTAGAACAGGAAGATGTTTCTCTTAAAAGAAACTGTTAGGCAGGGTGGGTAGCACATGCCTGTAATCCAGCGACTCGGGAGACTGAGGCAGGAGGATTGCAAGGCCAAAGCCAGCTTCAGCAACTTAGTAAGGCCTGAACAACTTATTGAGACTCTATCTCAAAATAAAAAGGACCGAGGCTGTGGCTCAGTGGTTATGTGCCTTTGGGGTTCAATCCCTGATACCCCCCAAATAAAAAAACTGTTAATAATTATTATTATGATGATGATTATTGGTATTGGGGATTGAATTTAGGGATATTCAACCACTAAGCCACATACCCAGTCCTATTTTGTACTTTAAGACAGGATCTCACTGAGTTGCTTATTAGCACCTAGCTGTTGCAGAGGTTGGCTTTGAACTCACGATCCTTCTGCCTCAGCCTCCCAAGCTCTGGGATTACAGCCATGTGCCACCACACCTGGCTTAGAATATGAAATTTATCATCTTAACCTTTTTCTCTTTTTTTTTTGGCAGTACTGGAGACCAAACCCAGGAGTGTTCTGCCACTGAGCTACACACCCAGCCCTTTTTATTTTGAGACAGGATCTAGCTAAGTTGCCGAGGCTGTCCTCTAATTTATGGTCCTCCTGCCTTAGCATCCCGAGTCGCTGGGATGACAGCTGCCCACCAGTACCCAGCTACTTTAACCATCTTAGGCGTGCAGTGCAGTGGCACTGCACACATTTTTGTTGCTATGCAGCCATCACTACACCTACCTGTAGGACTGCAGCATCCTCCCCAACAAGCTCCACTCCTCACCCTCCATCCTCAGCCCATGGCAGTCACTGTGCTGTCTCTGAAGCCAGCCACCCCAGGGCCTTTTGAAGCGGGCAGTGCTTGTCCTTCTGTGGCTGATGTGCCCCACCTAACAGGATGTCTTCTCCTTCTCCCTTCTCTTCCTCTGCTGCTGAGGATGGAACCTAGGCCCCTGCACATGCTAGGCAACCACCCTACCCTGGAACCACACCCCTGGCCCTTTGTATTTCTTGAGACAGGGTCTTATGAGATTGCCCAGGCTGGCCTCGACCTTGTGTTCCTCCTGCTTCGGCCTCCCATGGCTGGGATCACAGGCATGGCCACCAGTGTGCCTGCTGAGTTTAATTTGTATCGTATCATGTGCTGGCCAGTGATGTTTCACTGTGGGCTGCACCTCACTCTGTTTACCTGTGGGTGACCGCGGGCTGCTCAGCCCTGGGGGTGCCTGGTGTGTGCGGATCTCTTCAGTTTCCAGTGCTCCGGGTCACTACCTAGAGGCAGAACTGCCGGGGCAGAGTCTGGGCTTGGTTTCTGAGGAGCTGACCTGCTCTTTCCTGCAGGGCCGTGCCGCTCGTCTCCGCTCTGTCACAGGTGGCCTCACCTGACCCCAGGCTTTCATCACCAGGCCCTAATGGCAGTCCTGTCTGTTGGTGAGTCCTTTGAGTGTGGAGAGGAGGACGGCGATTCAGAACTGAGGCTTCCCATCCACACAGCCCAGGAGTGGTGGCCAGGGAAAATGGTCTTAGGGACCCCATCTGACACCCTGGAAGGATGGGCTGCGAAGCCAGTTGGAGTCCGCGATTCCAAGGGCTTGTCTGACCTGGACGGAGGCAAAGCTGTGTGCAGGGCGGTTCCTCTTCCTGACAGGCTGGGGGACTGTTGATGTCCCCACCTGCCTTTTTCTGGCCATACTATCCTGATGCTGCCTGTGGGAAGGTCCTGGGGGTTGCTAGCTAGGTGTCCTTGCAGGCCAATGTCTAGGGGAGAACTGAGATTGGTGGCATAGGAGTGGCTTAGCAGGACTGAGAGGATGAGAGAAGCTTTGTCCAGCCTGGGGACCACGCCCAAGTGCACATTTGGTCAGCGGGCAAAGAAGGCAGTGCACGGAGCTCCTAAGAGGGTGGGAGCCTCAGCCTCCCAGGTCTCCTGTGTATCCTGCAGAGTGGCCGGAGGGTGACCACCAGGAGGCACAGGCAGCATGAGTGCCAGAGCACTGATGTAGGGGTGAGAAGTGAACGGTGTGGGATGGCGTGGAGCGCCTCCAGGGTGCTCTGCCTCCCACCGTGTGCTCTGCACCCTGTTCTTCCCCTGCGGTAGCAGCTCCTCCCGTCCTTCAGGACACTCAGCAGCTGGGGCTGGGTTTCCACTCTACAGCAGCACTTGCCTAACATGTGCAGGGGCCTGGACCCAGTCCCAGCACCAAAGGGGAAAGACTATCCAGCGGTGGGTTCTGGTTCCTGTCTTCTGCTTCTGCCTGGCCCTGCTCTCAGGCTGCCCTCCCCTGGTGGAGCCCCCAGACCCTGCTCCCCAGAAGGGCAGCCTCTGATGGCTTCTGGCCCTTCCTATGAGTGTTCCTATGCTCTTCTCCATTTGAAGAGAGACTGAAGCAGGAGCCGGGCCTCTCCTTGGAGACAGTGCATGCCTACCTACCTCTGCAAAGTGTGGCACCGGGCCACCTGGGAAGGGAAGCCCTGCACCATGGCCCGCCCCAGCCTTGTCCCTTGTCTTGTACCTCACAGTCCAGGTGCCAGGTGAAGAGAGGACCGCAGGGCCTTGAGACCTGTGGAGGAGCAGTGGACAGACGAGAACTCAAGGCTGAGCCAGGGCACTGGGTGTGTGCAGCCTGTGTCCAGCATGCCCCTCGGGAGGCCAGTCTCTGCCTGGGTCACGGTCTGGGAGGAAGTGTAGCAGCCCAGGGCCCAGCCTTGCCATTTGTTGTTATAGCAGCAGGGTTTGTCTGAGGCAGGGTGTGTGCTGTGCTATGAGGGTGTGGGGTGCCAGGCACACGTGGCCAGGCCCCTGGGGATGGATGTGGCTCAGCAATGACCAGCCTTGTGCCTGGATGGCAGCTCACCAGAAGGCTGACTTTCCTGATCTGTAAAACATGGGCCACAGCGGCACTGATTCCCCTAGGGCTGTGTGAGGACTTGGCAGATGGTGTCTGTCGCCGTGCTCTCTGTCTTCATCTTGTCTGGGGAAACACGTAGGACAAGGAGGGTCACAGACCCTGCCGCAGCAGGGGGTGGGGGACTGGGAGCCATGAGGCCAGGATGTGTGCCAGCTCCAGGGGCCACTGAAGGCCTCCTGGACAAGAGGACCTGGGTCTTGAGAGATGAACACAAGTCTTAGGAGTGAAGCTGACAGCTCCTGGATGGCAGCAGTAGCTGACAGAAGCACAGGCTGCACGGCCCTGTGCACACAGGCCTCCAGCTCCCCCACCACCCTGGAAGAGGGTCTGCTATTATTTCCGAGTTCAGAGGAGGGTCAAAGACACAGACACCCTATAATTTGTCCAGTCACAGAGCTAGAGAGGGATGGAACCAGGCCTGGAAGCCGGGAGCCTGGCCCAGAGCCTGTGCACATGGAGAGGGAGCATCTCTAGTGGGTGAGCAGTGGTGGAGCTGTGAGGAAAATGGGCTGGACCTCGGACAGGTCCCACCAGGGCATCTGGTTGGCTCCTCGGGTCTGTGCTTCCCAGGTTTCATGGGCTGCCAGGTTGAAAAGTGTTTGGGAGGCTGACATAGAACTGCTAACTTTAAAATCTGCCAAGTAAGGATTTTATTTTTTCTTTTAAACCAAAACTCTGCAAGTGGTCTTGCTGGCCACTTCTGAGTTTCTTGCCATGTAACCTTGGTTAAGAGACTGGGTACCTCTGAGTCTCTGAGAAAACTGGGACCCCCAGCCTCACTGGCCTGGGAAGCCCTCTCAGCACCCATCTCTCAGAGGTCTTGGATAACACTGGATGTGTCTGGACCTCCTCCCGGCCTCAGACAAAACAGGGCTAGTGCTCACTGCCAGAGAAGCCACACAGGCCTAGGCCAGCTCTGCTGCTGTCGCCTAACAGGGGGTGGGACTTAGCAGTTTTGCCCTTCAGATGCCCTAGTAAAGAGGTCTGCCAGGGCTCTCCATCCAACATGGTCCTTTCCTTCCAAGAGCAGGAGCACGGACTCTGTATTAGTTAGACATGACCAGTAGTTCTGTCTGTCCTAGAGGCCAGTGTAGGCCCTGGGGGCTTCTGGCCTCAGGGCCGTAGGAAGAGAACAAGCCCTCATCTTGGTGGCATTGACCGTGGGTTCCTGTGCCACTGTGGAGTCTGCAGCCTCCACACTTGAGTGGGGCCTCCAGCAGCCTGGGCCACCCAGAATGGTAAATACTCCAGTAGCAGATAGTCACAGTTTGGTGTTTCGTCTTGTCCTAAATGCTTCCTGAAACAAAATGAACATATTTGATGCCACTAATGATGTTTTTAAAAAGAAGGAATCACATAATTCATTCTAAGACCACCATCTATCTGTTGCTGCAATCCTGTTTTCTGTATGCTTCTGAGGAGACCTCACAGTGGGTCTCAGGACTGCCTTCCTCATTCCTGCTTTGCTGAGACAAGCTCATGACCCTTGCAGGTCTCCTGGGAAGTGGCCCAGACCTGTGCTCTAGGGCTTGTCCCAGAGAAGCCTGGGATGGAGAGGCCCAGGCCAGCTTATAAGCATTGCCAGCTTGAATGCACTGGTTGGTTCCTGAGTTCCAACAGAGTCTTCAGGGGTGGAGACAGGCCACCCGAGGTGGAGTGCTGATGGAGCTGTGTGGCCAAGGTGGGGTAGAGCAGATTGTCCACTCCTGGGCAGCTGCGGGCTGCCATGGCACTAAGGCAGAGCTGGGCAGTGGCGACAAGAGCCGGTGGCTGGGTGACTGAGTGTGTATTTTGGGCAGTTACTTTCTGAAGTGGCTTTAGTGGTTGACATTAAGGAAGAGGCCTCTTGGCAGAAGGAAAAGATTGAAGGAGTTCTACGGTTTCCTCCCATTAATCACCCTGGCGCTGTGGCTCCCTGCTGCAGGGGTGTGCACTCCTGGCCTGCGGTAGTGCCTACTGGCTTCTTGGGCAGGGAAGCTGTTGTGAACCAAGGCCCTCTCCCTCCAAAGGCCAGCGGGTATAAATCTGCCCAAGGTCACAGGAGATTTTGTGGTGGCATGGTGGAGACCAGAACCCTCCATCTAAGAGCCACACTCTGATCCCCTGGTTTCTAAAGTGGGACTGGCCCACCTGTAGTAGCTGTCCCACTCTCCTGCAAACCCTGCACCAGCTGTCACTCTGAGGAAAGGGACAAGCTAGCTCTTTCAGAGCTCAAGGCTGGGCAAGTTCTAATGGCAGTGTCTGGCCCTTTCCTTCTTGGGTGGCTAGGTACATGGGAGAACAGAGTGTCCTACAATTGGGCCTGAGTCATGGTCTGGCCTTGTCTCCATGGGTGTATCTGTTTTCCGGTCTCTGTGAGGGGTTTAGGCATTCATTTCCTGCCTACCTGCGTCTGGGATACTTGATCTCCAAGGGTGCAGGGTTTGCAGGAGAGTGGGACAGCTGGTACAGATGGGCCAGTCCCACTTAAGAAACAAGGGGAGCAGATGTGGCTCTTAGATGGAGGGTTCTGGTCTCCACCATGCCACCAGAAACTCCTGTGACCTTGGGCAGATTTATACCTCTCTGGTCTTCACTCTCAGTACAAAATCTGTCCAGGTTCCTTCTAATGTGGACCTGGAGAGAACGCAGGACTAACTGTCTTCGAGTGGGTGGGAAGTATTCCAGGTGAGCCTTTGTGAACAGGTTGACGGGACTTGGGTGAAAACATTGTGACAGGCTGGCTTTGCAGTAACCTCTGGCCTTTGTTGTCTTAGGAAGACATGGCTGCTCACGTGGGTGCTTCCCGGACTCCCCAGGAAGTGATGGAGCACTATGTGAGCATGTACATCCACGGGAACCTGGGGAAGGCCTGCATCCCCGACAGCATCCCCAACCGGGTGACAGATCACACCTGCCCCAGCGGAGGCCCCCTCTCGCCCAGCCTCACCACCCCGTTGCCTCCGTTGGACATCTCAGTGGCCGAGCAGCAGCAGCTAGGCTACATGCCACTGCGGGACGACTATGAGATCGAGTACGACCAGGACGCCGAGACACTCATCAGCGGGCTGTCCGTGAACTATGACGACGACGATGTGGAGATCGAGCTCAAGCGCGCCCACGTGGACATGTATGTGCGGAAGCTCAAGGAACGGCAGCGCCGGAAGAACATCGCCCGTGACTACAACCTGGTGCCTGCCTTCCTGGGGAAGGACAAGAGGGAGAAGGAGAAGGCGCTGAAGCGGAAGATCACCAAGGAGGAGAAGGAGCTGCGGCTGAAGCTGCGGCCGCTGTACCAGTTCATGTCGTGTAAGGAGTTTGACGACTTATTTGAAAATATGCACAAGGAGAAGATGCTGCGAGCCAAGATCAGAGAGCTGCAGCGGTACAGGCGAAACGGAATCACCAAGATGGAAGAGTCGGCTGAGTACGAAGCCGCCAGGCACAAGCGGGAGCGAAGGAAAGAGAACAAGAACATGGCTGGCTCCAAAAGGGGCAAGGAGGAGGGCAGGGATGGCGAGTTTGCAGCCATCGAGAACCTTCCTGGGTTTGAGCTCTTGTCAGACCGTGAGAAGGTGCTCTGTAGCTCTTTGAACTTGAGTCCAGCGCGCTATGTGACGGTGAAGACCATTATAATCAAAGACCACCTCCAGAAGCGGCAGGGAATCCCCTCCAAAAGTCGCCTTCCCAGTTATCTGGACAAAGTCCTAAAGAAAAGGATTTTAAACTTCCTCACAGAAAGCGGGTGGATATCCAGGGATGCCTCCTGAACAAGGGTGTCCTGGAGCGTCCCCAGACACTTCCAAGGCTGGAGCAATGCTCAAGTAGCTTGTGAGCCAAATGGCATGGGGGGAGGGGAGAGGAACCGCCTTTTCCCCTGTTGCTCTTTTTAAACAAATTGAGTTCCTTTTTTTAAGATGTAAAAATCTTTTCAATGGTCCTCTGAAAGAAGCAATAGTAACAATCTTATATTGGATCATGGGGGAGACAAATGTTTCTATTTTAACTTGGTCCTAAAAGTAACCCTTGAAGATGATGATTTGCCTTTGCGTGTTCCGTTTGGAGACTGTTAAGAGATTGGATGATTTCCTTTTCTTTCCTGAGCCGCCTTCCCTTCGGGTGCAAAGCTGTGGGTGCAGGGAGTGACATTTTCCTGCTGGGCCGCCAGCCACCCATCAGCTTTCCCTGGTGACACACGCTCTTCTCAGGCAGGGCTGCTATAGGCGCCCCTTTTCTGAGCCCACTGATGCCCCCCCCACGACACCCCACATGGCCCGGGGCACGAGGCACTTTATAGAGGGGCCCATGGGACACAGACCTGCCCCTGTGTAACAGATGAAGATGAGGCCAGAGAGCACCAGGAGGTTTCCTTACACACTTGAGGAAGAAGCCTTGTTTACACAGTTGATCACGTGAGCTTCCACTTAGCTGTCAGCAGCGGCCAAGTGTGAGTTTGCAGCTCCCAAATCCCAAATCCTGCCTCTTTTTAGTCTGAGCCCAGCCTGCTGCCCACTTGGGGATACCCCCTGGGTACATCCTTGTTTTGTCCCAAGGATGGGAACCCTGGAGTGGGAGGGTCACAGGACTAGTGGGAACTGCCTGGCTTCCGGGGGTGCCCCTTGCTGCTGTGACTACCTGTAGTGCATTTGACTTGGAAGACCCCATTTTAAAGAGTTCCAGGCCAAGTGCTCAGGGTTCTGAGTTCTGGCATTAGCTTCCTCAGGATTCTTCTCAGTTACAAGTCCCCTTCTCACAGAAAACAATGACCATGCTAGCCCAGCTAGGCGAATTATTTAGTGCATGGCCAGGCCTGCTCCCGTTGGCTGGGCAGAGCCATAGTTCCAGCCCACACAGGCCCTGGTAAGTGTGGCGGTTCCCGGCTGTGTCTTGGGGCTACTGTGCTGCTTCCTGCTCGCCCTCTTGCTTCTGACTCAAAAATGGCTCCTTCCCAGCCCAACCGAAAAGCTCGTTTCTGGGGCCTTCTTCAAGGACATACACGGTACCTTCCTTTTAAACTTGAGGAAGTCGCTTGTCTTCCGGCTGCTCAGGGTTCTCGTGCCCAGACCCTGCTTTAGAGTCCCTGGATGACCATAGACCCCATTCTCCCTGAACTCATCCTGCCCCTGTGCCCCCATAGGTACAAGAGCCTGTTTACCTCCTAGAATATTTGAGCTTGAAGTACATTAAAGTGAAGTTATTCAAAGGAAAAAAAAAAAACCCTCCTCATTTCCAAGGACGACTTGATTATGTGCCTTTTCCTTTCTTTTTACATCCTCTGTCCCTTAGGGTGAGTTTTTCAGCATTAAACAAAACATTCAAGTACACTGTTTAGTTGCAAAGTGTGTTGCGGGCTGGCAGAGGAGTACCTGCTCGCTAGACCAGGGCTTCTCAGCAGATGCTGAGCAGTGACACTGCTCCAGAGTGCTGGCTGCGTGCTGCGCCAGGGACAGTGACAAGGATGGTGCTGAGTTCTTATATCATCACAGCCAGTGGTTCTCAGAGTGTGGATCTTGGGTACCTGTTTACAAATGCAGAATATGGACCCCACCCGGTCCTCTTGAATTGGAAATTCCATGGTGGAGACTAGCAAGCTGTCTTTCAAACCCTCTAGGTGACTGGGAGGGAGCTCAGTTTTGACAGCCACTGGCTTTAGCTGTCCTGGTGTCTCATTTGTTGATTTTCTACACCACCCGAATACTAGTTTGGTGAGGTTGAGTCTAGTCTTATTTTTTTATATAAAATGATAGGCCTACATTAAGCTTGAGAAGCAGAGGATCCTGAAAATGTGTGGCCCAGGCCAAGAGTTGTCCAGTGAAAACCTTTGTGCTTAAGCAGTTTTGTAGTGTGTGTGTGTGTGTATATATATATATATATATATATATATATATATATATATATGTGTGTGTGTGTGTGTGTATATATCTTTTTGATGGTATGAAGAATTTATTTAGGCTTGACTGTTTTAAGACACCATAATGAATGTATAATTAATTTATGTCAAAGTATTAATATGTTGTTACAACAGGAAAGTAATTTTAGGATTGGTTGCCTCTTATCTGCTCCAGCTTTCTGTTATATTAGTTCTTACCTCTGCATTAGTTTGGAGTGTTTATATTCAATTCTCACAATAAATTAGCTACCATAATCCTGTGAACTAAATCTTTTCAAATTTTACACAAACTGTCTTTACAAAGTCCAAAAAGATAGATAGGTAATTTTTCAGGCATTTGAAATAATGCTCTCTGGGAGGCCAACATTCCAAGAATGTATTAAAAACTACAACTCTGGCTACCATTTTTATTATTCTTTTACATATTAAACAAGTTGAGAACAGAACAGTGCCTTTGCTTGCTTCTTACCGTTTCTCGAGCCTCTGTGCCTGCTTCCTTGCAGAGCCTTAAATGCAGCAGTGAGCCAACACTGAGCCCAGGGGCACGGTGTGCCTGGCATGTTTGAGTAGCACACTGGTTATCAAGCCAGCCCCCACCATCCCTAAGTCAGCCTAAGTGGGCTGACTTTCCCACACCTGAGGTCTGCACCATACAGCTCAGCCCCCACGCTGCAAGCAAGCAACACCCATCGGTACTAGGTACTAGAGTGGAGCTGACCATATCATTTCCAGCATGAATTTGTCATTAAAAGATGTCTTCCCATTGGTGGTGATTGTGGATAACTGAAATATACTATTGAAGACAAGTTGGCTGTATCTGAGCTGTAGTCATCCCTTGGGTTGGTTCCTGGATGCCTTACCCCCCACTCCATTCAGGATTCCAAACTTTGAAATATTTAAAATAATAGTATTTGCATATAACCTGTGCACTCTCAACTTGCATCATCTCTAAGTGACTTATAATGTCCAATACAGTTAGATGTCATGTACAGATTGTATTGTGCAGGAAATGAGGACAAGTGTGTTCAGTACGATTGGTTTCAATAGTTTTGTTCTGCAGTTAGTCAAGTTCATGGGTGTTAACACCCACAAACACAGAGAGCTGACTATATGTCTTGAGTCATGAACTTAGTGCTTTTTAGCGACTCCAGCTGTAGTTGAACAGTAAGAGGAGTGCACGCACACACACACTCTCAGAGAACAGTCTGAACATGTTGTCTCATTCAGGCTTTGCTTTGCAGGAGAGTTCCTGGGTGGATGCACACAGCTGCACAGCATAAAAACAGGCTGGGCTGGACCCAGGCCTGGGTTCTCTCCAATGTTGGGCTGCCTTCACTTCCAGGGTATGTATTTGACCAAATAACACAAAGCAACTTCAAGGAAAGGAGGAAAATGCTTGCAAATAGGAAAAATGGAGATTATTGCTTTTGTTTTTCAAAATTACTGGCAAAATATATAACTATGCCCCATTTTTTTTTTAAACACAGGAAATGGATTTACCAATATTGCCTTTTCACCTAAAAAAGGTCAAGAGGTCACTGTTCCCTTTTGTAACAGATGCCCCAGCCACTCAACCTTCCTCCAAGATCTGGACATTATATGAGGCACAGAGACCCCTCTGCTGGAGTCACCGTGTGTGGCTGCAGCTCTGGAGGGCTTTGTCCCAACCCCTGCTGTGGTGTGCCTTCTCCTGGTCACTGGGTCTGAGCCTGGAGGGCTGCTCCCTTCCCAGGTGGTGGCACCTGCACACCAAGCAGCCAACTCCCAAGCTGGGGTAGATAAAGGGGAGAGTTAAGTCACACTTGCCTTGGGCTCAGGGGTCACCACTAAAGGACACGTCATTACCAGAAATAGGAAAATAAACATTAGGCTTTTAATCCTCTTAAATAGAATTTTAAAATTAAACAAACATTTTAAGTACACCAAGCATGCAGTCCCCACTGAGAAGGTCCATCTTAATAGGAACATACCTTGAGGTTATTAGTAACTAACTGAATAGATTTAAACAACTGAGATGACAAAACAGGAAAAAAGGATTTACTTTGTCAAATTCACTTGGCAAAATAAGGTGGTTAGAATGTTCAAGTTCACATGCTCCCTTCCCATCTCCACAGAAAAGCCAAGGTTGACCATTCCTGGCATCTAGATGCTAGTTATAAATGAACTTGTATGTTCTCAAAGGTAGGCATCAATTTTTTTTGTTGTTGTTTTAATCAAGAAACATGTTTCCCCTCCGGCCTTTTCTTCACAGAGTGAACCCAGCAGTAGCCAAAGGTGCCAGCACTCAGTGCTGCAGTGAGCTGCACACGACGGCACAGACGGGCGGCCAGGCAGCCAGACAGTTCCTGAAGACCTTTTATTTGTTTAAAGTACTTTGCAATCACGAGTTTCAGCAGATACAGCGTTATTCACGATACTCTAGAGGTCCCGTCCGCCCTCTTCTGGAAGAATATGGAGCTACTAAACATGTGGTACTAAGAAATCAGACTCCTGGACCAGAGCTCCTGGACGCAACTGTGTACCCAGCTTGATTCTTTGCAGCCACTTGACCTTTCCATCAAGGCTGGACTCCCAGAGGAGAAAAGATAGACCCGCCTTTCAAGAGTTACAGCAAGTGACTTAAAAGCCAAAGGCCCTGCGGGAGGCAGTTATGCTTCCTTCACCACCCCCACCAGGGCAGGCCTGAGGGTGCGCCCATGCAGCTTGTACCCCACCTTGCTAACCAGCGCCACCGTACCCGGTTCCTTGCCCTCTACTGGTGTGTGGAACAGCGCCTCATGTTCATAAGGGTCGAACTTGGCTCCAAGGGGGTCCAGCTTGAGCAAGCCGTGCTTTGTGAATACCTTCTGGATCTGCACCTCGGTCAGCACCAGCCCCTCGTACAGGCTTTTCAGGTGAGGGTTTTCATCTTTAATTTCTTCCTTTGGAACACTCTGTGTTGCCTTCTCCAGAATGTCTGCAACCTCCAGCAAGTCTTTGCAGAAGCCCTGGATGCCTGATAAAGTTAAAGAAGGTGGGTCACAGTCCACATCCACTGCACCTGGGAATTGAGCTTGGTGTGCTTCATACATAGGCTGCTTATGGTGCCCGGCCACAGCACCTGTTGCCCCAGAATCTCAATGCTTCCACCATTTAATACAGAAAAGACAAAACCCTCCAAAGCCTCTCCTGGCTGAAAGCTGGAATCACCTACTACAGTAGGGGGAAAGGAAGCCAAGTGAAGGGCTAAGGTCGAAGCACCCTTGAGACTCCCAGGCAAGGGTGCTAAGCAGCATGTATGGAATGAAACTCAGGAGACTGAGCTGGAACAGAGACCTAGGTGTGGAGGCCCTTTAAACCTGTGGGAGTGTGGAAGTCACCCGGAGTGCCGGGAAGAGGGGAAAGAGGCCTGGTACTCAGGTCAGGCAGGTTCGTATTACTCAGGGAGGAAGAGTACCAGGAACCCAGGTGACCCAAGGAAAAGTGTTCCCAGGAAAGAGGTGTTTCTGTGTTGGATGCAGCAGCATGATGAGATGAGGACTCTATTTCCATCTGGTCCCTCACCCTCTCTGTCCTTGGGTAGCCATAGGAATTCCCATCCTGAACCTTTGGCTCCTCACCTTAACACAGGACACCACACCTGGCAGTTAACCAAGTGACCCACAGCAAGCACTCCTATGGCAGCCTCAGGTCCAGTTACTACCACAGGTGCCAAACTGGCAGTGATGGACAAAATGCTGGTGCCATGACTGTGATGTGTGGCAAGTCACTAAGCCTGGATTACCTCAACTACAAAGCGGGAAGGCAGCAACAGAAGCACCAAAGCTGACAGTGGAGGCTGCACAGCAGGAGTCCTGAAGTGACAGCACTGCTCTGAAGCGTGAGGGAGCCACAAGCAGCAGGGGTGCCATAGACATCCCTGTATGCCATTCGGTTACTAGGACTTTCCTATTCACAGAGGTCATTTTCTTGAATCGGGGAAGAAAGCTGAACATAGTTTATTCTGACTAGACTGTGGCATAATCAGACCTCCTGCTAGTCCTGGTGAAGAAGCCTGCAGATGTGCCTTCTACAGCTGGCTAGGGGCTCCCTAGGGTCTGCACAGGGAGGGTGATAATAAAACTCCTGCTGTGTGGACCACACAATTCCAAACACTGTCACAACTACACAGTCTCTGCTCCTATACAGACACTTTCACTATGAACTCATCTTGAAAAACCAGAGGGGGTGTGAATTCTGCCCCCACCCCGGCTTGTTCTAGGTACACCTGCACCCCCTCTTCTCCACCCTATTATGTTCTTTCTGGGACCAATAACACATAATGTTTAAAGTTACCATATAATTTCGCCTCTTCCACCAGTTTTTGGCTCCTCAGTCTCAAGTTCTCAGTATCTGCCAAAGCTCGTTTGTATTTTTCCTAAAGAAAAAATAAAAGGTAAAAGATTTACATGAATCAAATATGGAACAAATTTACAGGAAAGTCATCCTAATTTGAAAATGATTATAACACACTCCAAGTCAAGATACAAATAAGATCTGTCATTCCTTTTGAGATATTGGACAAAAACAGAAAAGCTCAGTGAGACCAATTTATACTCATGTTAGCATTTCCAGCGAGTGGGAGTAATGCTAGGGCTCCCTGCGCTGATCCAAGTGCACAGAGGTGAAAAGACCAGAGGAAAATCCTTCACCCCCAAGGAATAAGCACTAGTCTCCCCAGTAGAATGTCTGACTTCAGGCAATATGAGCACCTTGCTAGGGGCGACGCCATGTCCAGTCCCATTCCTTCCGGGAGAGGGGGAATGGACTGGGTGTGAAGGGGAGGCCTTGATCCCATGGGGACATGACCCTGTGGATGCACCTCTGTGCCTTCCAGTTTGCCTTAAGGACTCAGTTCACATGCTCACTGTTTAATAATTAATCATGGCAGTTTGGGGAAGTCCCCGAATTCTTACCAACCCTCTCAAGAGCTCCCCACCTCTGGAGTGCCTTCTGCTAATGTGTACTGAAGGGCTCTGTGCGGGTTTCCATACTGCAGCTGAGCCAAGTCTGCAGGCAGTCACAATGCAGAGGCAGGCAGCTTGGGCTCACCCTACCCCATTCACCCCTGGCTCTGGGAGCTGCAGGTGGGTGAGCCTGGGGTTCCCTTGGCTGCTCTGGGCCTCAGGCTCCTCACCTGTAAACAGCTTACTCATAAGAACATGTAAAACTGCCCACACATAATCAGTGCTTTGGGAGACATAAATATTTGATGTTTTTAATCTTAAATCCTTAAAGAACTTGATTTGCAGATGGATGGATTTCACTATAAACAACATATATAACTGAAAATAAAGCCATCATGTCAGATGTTATTTCTATATTTATTGATTAAGCTATACCAATATCATTGGTTAATACTTTTCAATTATATATATCTGAATTAAAGAAGTATGCAAGGTAAGAAGAAAAGCACCTGATCAGTGCTACTTGTGCTTTTCAGCAATAAGAATCCCTACTGCTGCCAGCTCACACAACTTCTACTTCCCCATGACAGCAGCCCAGGCCCCCACTCCCACCCCAGTTTTAGTGACCACACGGAGCTTTCCTCATCTGTAAGACCGTCTCAGGGTAACCACCTGGCACGTGAGGCTCTTGTCATGTCAGAAGTGGAGCCATACGACGTGGTTCTCCCCTCCACTGTGGTGGTCACCTGCTACATGAGCAGTGGGTCAGACTGAATGCCCTGGCTTGGGTCTGTCACCAGTGACATGTGGGGCCTTTTCTGTGGACCACACAAGAAATAATTCAGCCAAGTCTGTGTCCCACAAGAGCCATATATCCTCACCATAGTGTCTCTCAGCTGTTCTTCTAACTTGACCTTCTCTTCCAAGAGGATCTTGTCTGTAGAGGGAGGCTCTGTCTTCTGCTCATTGTGACCCATGTCCTCTTCCAGGCTTTGGCCATTGTTCTTTTGTTTTGTAGCTGTGCACAACAACCGAGGAGAGGGCCTACAGAAAAGTCCACACATCAGAAATGACAAATGTTTTTTGGAAAACCAGACACAGGACATAGGAGATTTGGAATACTTTTGAACTCTGCTATTGACTGTTTTAGGAGCAAACCTATTTCAGATCTTATAAAGGCAAACTACAAATGACACACACACATATATTAGTACATGCCAAATAACGTCATTCTGGACAACAGATCGCATATGTGGCAGTCTTTATACCTCATAACCTATGTGTGTAGTAGGTTATACCATCTATGTTTGAGTAAGTACACATGTAACATTCACACAAGGAAATCACCTAACAATGTAGCTCTCAGAAGGTAGTTCCTATTGTTTTATGACTCATGACTATATAAGACCAACTGCAATACATGCTTAAACTGATGGGTACCTAACCTTCTCTTCTTGCATTCCAAGGTGTCTTCTGAGACACAGAGACCCCACCTGTGTTTAATACAGCAGACACTGTCAGAGATGAGACCCACTGCTGACATCATGGACAAAGATGGACCAGGCAGAGATCTTACCTCGAAGCACTTTCCATCATGTAAAAAAGGTAAGATGTCTATACACAAAGAATTGTAATTGGGGGTTTAAAAGTTAGTAAAAGAATCCCAGTGCTTTGAGAGACTCAGAAGACTGGAGGAGAAGAAAAGGCTCTATAGGACCGGTGAGTTGCACACAAGAGCAAAACATGTAATAAAGAGGTCATTGCTTTTCACACCTGTGGTAACAGTCTACAATGGACCCTTCTACTCCTTTCTGTGAACCTGAGAAACATGAATACATGCATAGCCTCTCTAGTTCATTTTCAGAAAATATGAACAAGAGCAGGGTGGACAGACAGATAGATGCGCTTCAGGAAGTGGGCACTGCCTGGATGAAGGTGTGGAGGTAGGAACATGAGACTAACAAATGAGTACTAACAAATCCTGGAAGATATTTAAGGTATTATCCAATCTGATATCCACGTGAAAAGATTCAATGACATGCCTAAGGTCACAAAGCCTTTAGTGATAATCTTAAAACCCAGGTTTCTTCACCAGGATCAGCAGGAGCTCTTATTATGCCACAGTCCAATCAGAATAAACTACATTCAACTTTCTTTCCTGATTCAAGAAAACTACCTCCATGAATAGTAAAGTTTTTGTAAACATAATATACATAGAAGGATGTTTATGGCAACGCTGCACAGGGACAAGCTGGACACAGTGTTCTGAAGTAAGGAAATGGCTAAATGAACTGCTGCTTCCCCAATCTGAACTATCATGCAGCTACTAAAAGATGAGTTAAACAGTCGTCCCTCGGATGCACTTGTGTGTCTTCTATTAAATAAGAAATGCAACTTCATGCACCATTTAATGATAGGATACATTGATACATTCTAAGAAAGATGTCATTAAGCAACTCTATCATGCGAACCAAAACGGCTAGGATGTCACTAGGTGATACAGTCTTAGGGGACCACTGTCCTGAATGAGGTCTGTCACTCACGGGAACTTGTGCAGTGCAGGAACACAAAACATGTTCATATGTAGACTGTTACTACAGGTGTGAAAAGCAATGACCTCTTTATTACATGTTTGCTTTTCTGGTTTTCAGGAATTTAAAAAGTAAGGGTATTGTTGAGATGCCTGCCTTCTGAGTCCGTCCGTCATGTGTGTGTCCCCCCACCCCCCGCTGAATGTGACAGTCACACTGCCTTTCTGCAGGTTGGCTCTGCTGTGTGCAGACCCCTTCCTGATGCCAACAGAGGGTCTAGCCACCATGTTTGAGAAGGAAAAACACAGGGTCCAGAGTTGCAGCTGGTCTGCTGTCTCAGAAAACTATCACTGTGGGAATTGTGATTACCATTCATTCAGCTCTCTTGCCTCTAGTTAAGCATCTTTCCACAAAGCCACAATTTCAGAGACAGAAATGATGCTGACTTCCTGGTACTTTTTTTTTTTTGGCAATTCCAGATACAAAACAACAAATTATTGAGCTCTAAAAAGCCTTTTTACTTAAGTATTCGGAGAAGCCTGCCACATTGTTCCCATGGTGCTTTACATGAACTTAGTAAGATGCTATTCACGCCTTGTCACCCTCATTGCAAGTAATCTTTGGCTCATCTGCCTGGTCTCACCAGGTGAGTGAGCTCCTGGCGGGAGAAGACCAGCCCTTACTCTGCTCAGTTTCTACCCAAAGTTTGGACAGAAATAGCTTCTCTCGACTTGGTGAATAACTTGCTTCTAGGAAAAATTTTCAAGGGATGAGATAAGAACTCTCTATATTTGCCGAACTCACTTTAAGACAGGTCTTTCAAAAACCAGAAGCAACGGGTTAAAATGAAAACAGTGACGAGTGCTGGTTCTTCTGACCCGCAGGGAGCCTAAACGAACTGCCCACAGCCGGACAGGCTCTGGTGCTTTTTGACCCCAGACTCCAGCGAATGCTTAGAAACTTGAGGCAGAACGGGAAATGCCCGTCAGACGGGCAACGGACCCTCCGGCGCGGCGCCAGCTGAGCTGCGGGCACTGGTGAGCCACAGCCCCGTCCCGGCTCGCTGCGTGACCTTGGGCAAGTCTTGGGTCTCTCTGCTTGTTTCTTCAACCGCAGAAGCTGAGGCTGCCTGGGTGCCCGGGCGCGCAGGGGAAGCGGACGACTGCGAGGACGCTGCGGGCCCTGGGCCACACGCACACGGGGGCCGCCGAGCTTCCACTCCAGGCACCCCGGCCAGGACCCCTCCGTCCCGCAGCCCACGGAGCCCTAAAGCCCCACGCTTCGGGTGCAGGCGGCGGCGCTCCCGCTGTCCGAGCCCAGGACGGGCACACCCCGGCCACAGAGCAGACCTTGGGGGCGGTCGGAGTCCGCGTCGGAGCCGCGGGCCCGGGGACCCCGACGCTGGTGATGAGGCCGGAAGGGCCAGGATCGGAGCGGCAGAAATGGCGCTGAGGAGTCGCGCTCCCTCAGCCCAAAGAAGCCCGACGCCCCTTACCTGAGAGACAACGCCAAAGCCGGGAGACCGCGCCGCGCTAGCCTCACACACCGAGCCGCCATGACTGCCGCTACGGCCTCCGTCACGCACGTACCGGGCATGCGCCGAGGCCGCTGTCCCGACTTCACGCCCCACTATTTCTCATCAGCCAATCCTAGGCCGCTTATGCTGTGATTGACAGACCATAGTCACCAATAACGGTAAGTCACAGCAGAGCACAGTCTCCCCCCCCGTGATGGGCGGGGTCTGAGCCCCGCTTCCCGGAGAGCCCCAAAAAGCGAGGTGAAAGGTGAAGAGAACAAGAGGAGGAGCCTCTTCGTGGGCGGGGAAAGTATGGGGAAGAACCAGTGAGGGCGGGGCGGGGCCGAGCGGAGGGCGCTGGTTGGGTGGCGCGTTTCCTTCGGGGCCAGTCTTGTTGTCACCTCCCACCCTGTTGCCCTTTTTCGCTGAGTGCCGCTGGGGCTTGCGGCCCGACACTCGTGTCTGAGGGCGCCACTAGCCGAAGGAGGCAGGGAGGCTCGTAAAGTGAGGCTGTGCTACCGGGAGGCGCACTCCCGGCACGCCTATCCAGGTGGTGCGGGAGGAGGGGGAGGGACATGGCTGGCTGGCTGTCCCGAGTTACAAGGAAAACTTTAAAACGAGACCCAGGAAGCGGATATGACGAAGTGTCATCACGTTTGGTGTTGGATGTCGGGATTCTGGGTGTTAGATTTGAACCTGTCATCTTCTGTTTTCTGAGTAAGGCACAAACCACAAAATGGGAAAAATACAGGAAAACTTTTGGGACCCTCTAAGGCTCATAAATTCAAATACCGGTGTGGTTCTGCCACACACCCCTTAAGTGTCTCAGAAGACTGACGAGAGGGCGCTACTGGCTCTACCCCTTTTGCTGCGCTTTAAGCTTGGGGCCCAACAAAGGCTCTTACCCGACTTCTGCTCTGCACCGCTGACCTCCAGGGCATTCCCCGGGGCCAGCCGGCGCCTGCAGAGGCCGGCCTCCCACCCAGGATACTACCTGCTGTGTTCCACTTCTGAGAACCAAAACGCTGTTCTTTTCCTTTGTTTTCATTGAAACCTTTCTTTCAACCGATGCTGATTGAGCACCTACTGTTTCCCTGCACTGTGCCACCTATAGATGGAGGCAAATGGCCAACTCCAGAATATGGGCTGTCAATTAATTGGCGAGGTCAGTGGGAGGAAGTGGACCGGTTAGTAAACGAACTTAAAAGACATGATTGAATTCAATTCGGATCATGGTAGAACAGATCAACTGTACAAAAGACATTTGTGAAGTGATGAGGAATTTCACTGCTACTTTTGTTAAGGAGTCATAATGGCCTGGTGGCTATGTAAAAATGTCCTTGACATCAAAGATGCAAACAGAAATGTTTACAATAAGTTGCTACAGTGTCTGGAATTTGCTTTAAAAATACTCCAGTAGAAAAATAATGAGTATAGGTGAAACACAAGTGGAAAATATGGAAAATGGTTAGAACTGGGTGCTGGACATGATGAGGGTTGTAACTTTTCTTTATTTTTAATAATGTTCAAATTTTTCTGGGATAACCCTTAAAATGTGTTTTTCATCGGCTGTAACCAAGTTGTCTAATTGCGCTCATCCTGAATCTGCTCACCTGTAAAACTGTTTTGTTTAGTTTTTTTTTGTGGTGGTGGGGGGTCGCTATGGGAAAATATAGGAAAACTTTTGGGACCCTCTAAGGCTCATAAATTCAAATACCGCTGTGGTTCATAAAATGCGACTTATGCAGTCCAGGGGGAGAAATAAAAGAATATCCACGCGCTTCTGCCCCTTTCAATGCTTTATTGACGCAAATCACTCAATACAATTCATCCTATAGGTTCTTAATCAAGAACAACAATCCTTTATGCTAGGCATTGCAATAGACATAATAAATTCACAGCAAACCATTCTAGATTAATTCTAAGCACTGCAAACACACTTAATCATGACAGGCTCATGACAAACATTCCCTCTGCATTCTAAGTTCAAGTGTCAGATCAAAAGTCTCAAACTGGGCTGGGGATGTGGCTCAAGCGGTAGCACGCTCGCCTGGCATGCCCAGGGCCCTGGGTTCGATCCTCAGCACCACAAAAAAATAAAAATAAAGATGTTGTGTCCACCGAAAACTAAAAAATAGATATTAAAAAATTCTCTTTCTCTTAAAAAAAATAAGTCTCAAGCCTTAGGCTCTAAGTCCAGCAGATGCACACTCACTCAGACCAGATGCACACTCACTCAGACCGCAGTGATCAGGTCAGGAACCTAGGCAGGCTTCTCCTGGGGTGGAGCTGACCGCTGGCTGGGAAGGCTCTCCCCAGGGTCAAGATGTGGCTGTAGAGTTTGAGAGTGGTGAGGAAGATGCAGAGGATCAGCAACAGTGAAAAGTGTTGGGATGTTGCCACAGTCTGGCTGGGCACAAATAACCGAGCCGCCACAAAGCCTTGTAGATTCAAACAGCAACTCTTTATTCCTCAACTCTCACCGGCACTGCACACACCACACAGGAACACACTCCCTCCACCGGGCTCTGTCCAATCTCTCCGAACCCTTGAGAACTGCTCGGGAACTCCAAAGTAGGCAGGAAGAGCCGCCCTATTGCCCGACAGTAAAGGTCAAATATACAATTCAAACAATCCAGCATCACAGCAATTATATATAGCTTAATTCAAATCATCATCTCAATGGTTCGCTGGTGTCACCTTTCAACCATTCCCTCTGGCAAATGCCAGGCGTCATTCTGACTGGGCTGTGGCTCTCAACAGGATGTCAGTCCAGGTCCTCATCAGGCTCTCGGCGTGAGGGCATCAGTGTCGGCTGGCTGAATGTCTGTTCTCTTGCTCCATTATTTATACCAAATTTTGGGGATTTTGACCCCCTTTTAATCCTTATCAGCTGCCACAGGATTTCCCAGTGACATCATTTACCCGGGTTAAAACATCTGGTCTGGTGGTCCCCTTATTTCGCCTTTCCCCCTTATTGGGGGAGGACAGCCTGCCAGAGGCTTCACTCTGAGTTTGTCAGGGTGGGGAGAAGTGACTTCTTTGTGCCTGAGGGCCATACTGGAGGGCTCTGTTAGGCGTGCTGGTGAGACTGCAGGTTTCCAACCAGAGTTTTAAAATGGAGTTGCTTAGGCTCATGCCTAAGGCCATCCTCACAGGAGGGAGGGTACTAGGGATTGAACTCAGGAGCACTTAACCACAGAGCCACTGTGGTTTTATTTACAGTCAGGGTCTTTCTGAGTTGCTTGGGGCCTCCCTAAATTGCTGAGATTTCAACTCACAATCTTCCTGTCTCCCAAGCCACTGAGATAAAACTGGGATCTTATTGTGAAGTTTAAAAAGAGGCTGGACTCAGATGGGCATCCTAGAGTGTAGAGAGGGGTGAGCAGAGTTAGAGCCACTGGGTCCTGAGATGGACAGGAATGGGTCTTCCTGGTGATGCTGCCACATTGGGGATCCTGAACCACCTCAGTCCAGGCCAGCTAGCCACCCAGCTGTGCCCCCTGTCACCCAAAGCAATGGGATTCCCCTACCTGAGGCTTGCCTGTGCTGCCACCTCATGGCCACACCAGGAACAGTTCCAAATGGCTTCTGTGTGAGAAGACTCCTGCATCATCACTCAGAGCTCATGTCCTCCAGGGTGCAGGGTGCCCTGCAGTGTGGGGTAAAGGTGGGGGTGCTGAAAGAGCAAACTAAACAGCCTGGGGTGCCCCAGGAAGGATGGGATGGTGTTTAAAAAGAAAAAATTCCTCAGAAGAAGGTCATGCAGATGGCTTGACACATGTTGGTCATGGGCATGATGCTCATAACTGCTGAGCCAGCTAGATGGCTTGCGCTCAGCGAAGCTGCTGGGGACACAAAGCTCTGTCATCGACCCAGCCTGCCTCCTGAAGGGTTGGCTGCTGACTGGAGGTATGTTGTCATGTGTCAGCAGGTCATGGGTTTTCACCCTTTCATTGGACTTTGAAATAAATAAATTTAGAAAACATGGGTTCGATGGATGTGGCAGACAGAATTCTACAGATGGATTCCAAGCCCTGCACCCCCACCTCCAGTTATTCAGTCAAATACTAGTGTAGATGCTTTGGTACATGGACTTTGGACTTGGAATTAAGGACATTGGATTTGGAATTAAAGTCCCAGCAAGTTGACCTTGAGATACAGAAATTATCCGGTGTATTTGACCTTTTGAGCCCTTTAAAAGGAGGGAGAGTTTTGAGCTGGCAGCAGAGGGCAAAGTCACATTCAAAGTGATTATGTGAGAAGGCCTGTGGGTGACCCTAAGAGCAGAGAGCAGCCCTCACCTGACAGCCAGCAGGAAATGAGGCCTGCAGACCTGCAGCCACAGGAGCTGGGCTTTACCACCCACCTGAAAGAGCCTGGAGCAAATCATCCCCAGAGCCTCCAGGTGTTGGCTCAGCCCACCCACTGCCTTGACTCTCGCCTCATGAGATCCAGAGTGAGAACCTTGGTTTCATTCACTTTAGACACATCATCGTCCTGTGAAGCAGGAATTTATTCTCCCATTTTATTGTATCTTCATTCTGGACTTTGGCACCAAAATGGACCTGTCGAAAACCTTGGTTCCCATTCTTATCATCACAACCCACCACCCACAGGAAGCTCCAGCTTACAGATCAAGAACTGACCTGGAGGGAGGAAACTGACTACCAGATAGCAATTCCCCCTCTGCCTCCTGCATGCAGGCTTCCAGCCAAAGAGGATGCTCTTAGTAAGAAAATACCGCAGAGGGGCCTGCAGATGGCCACGTGGAAACACCCTGATGCAGACAGGCTGGCTGCACGGGGGTTTGGTTGAAATAAGCGGTTGCATGAGGAGAGAGCAAATGCACAATTATTAATAGTCATCTCCCAGGAATGTTCAAGCAGCAAATTAGCCATCATGATCCAGTGGCATGCAGATGTCTCAGTTGCCCTAAGCAGCTAGGGTGGCCAGAGGTGGCAAGGAAGGAGAGAGGGGTGATGGAATCCTTGGATCCCAAGAAATTCTTCCTAACACGTCTGTAGACATGAGGGATCATTTGAATCTAAGGCTGCTGACACCGTCCTTACCACCTGCTGCAGTTTGAACCCTCCTGTGTGTTGGTCAAGTCTGTCTTCAGG